CCTCCATCGTCGTCGTCTTTGTCAGCAGCAGCAGCATGAGATAATACCAACACGATTTTCAATCTCCTTTGCTCAATCCTCCTCCCTCCATCGTCGTCGTCTTTGTCAGCAGCAGCAGCATGAGATAATACCAACACGATTTTCAATCTCCTTTGCTCAATCCTCCTCCCTCCATCGTCGTCGTCTTTGTCAGCAGCAGCAGCATGAGATAATACCAACACGATTTTCAATCTCCTTTGCTCAATCCTCCTCATTTAAAGATGTACTTTTCTTTTATCTGATTTAATTTTGTTTTTAGTTCGGTTAATTATAGTTTGGTACCCTAAAATTTGTAACTTTAATACCCTTAATGTTTTTAATTGACACTTTGAAGCTCAAAGTTCGCACTAAGTTCGTTTTTCTGTATTTGTGATACCTTAAAGTTTATACATTTTAATTGATGCTTTTTTCAATTATGGGGTGTCAAAGTGTCAAAGATAGAAGTTTGAGTTATCAAGGCTAGAAGGGGTGTAAAGTTTGAGTATCAGGATGTCGAGAAAAAATTTAGAGTATTAACGTTATAAGAGGTGCAAACTTTGGGTATGAAATGGTGGGGAAAATCTTTGTGGTGTCAAAGTGGTGGAGAAAAAACTTATGGGTATTTAAGTTTAAAATGGTGTAATTTTTGTGTATCAAAGTGCAAATAATCCTGATTCTTACGATTATCATTATACTGTTATTGCTGCTATACTATTATGACTTTCCCATTTTGTATGTGGAGTGGAGTTACGGAATCACCCGACTTAATTGTATGGGATTAAATTGAATTGAATTTGTATTGTTATTTGTTATAGTTGATCGAGACGCTAATACATGAAGTGGACCTCTCGGAGGAAGAGGCCGAGGCATCCCTCGACCTCCTGAACGAGGCCAACGGGGCCCTCATCAGTGCCTTTCTTGTCTTCTTGAGAGCCAAAGGTGAAACCTTTGAGGAGGTATTGCTACTATTATTATATGTTATTGTCATAAATTTAGAAAGTTTGGACTAAAAAATGGACTATAGATAGAGGGAAGGTAGAAAGAAATGTATATAATCAAAACCCGAAATATGAGCTATGCTCACATTAATTGTTGAACCTTAGGTAAGAATTTCGTTTCATTCCACCTGGATAATATACTTGGATATCTAATGATAAACCACACATCTCAAGGTTGTTTTATTAAATTTGATTGCGGATATGTTGTTTTCTCTAGATTTTAGTTTCACATTGCATAAGTTCAAGTTCTATTATAACTTTGAAATGGCTACACACCCAATTAGTCAAGTAAATGACAAAGTCAAAGAGTTTGTTTTTAAAATGAGCAGCAGATGGTAACTGTTAAAACATAGAAATATGTGCATGTACCCATTTGTGCTACTATTATTATATACTTCAATATTTGTTGTTCTATGAACTTCAAGTCTTTTTCCTACGAATAGGACTCCCCCAAAATTCAGCTTGTTTGATGCACCCAAACATCACACACGTACCCATTTGTGCTAACATATATGGTAACTGTTAAAACATAGAAATATGTGCATGTTGGTTCTCGTGACAAAAGTAAACTGCTTTGTATTTCACTTTACTAAACTGAGGTTCTTTTCTAAATGAATATTAGCTTGATACATATATTTATGAGTCAAATATACAATATATTTAGAAGAAATATGCATATGCAGCTATCCGGACAGGTTTTTTATTATACACTTAAGTCTATAGTAGTACCTCAGAGTATGATACTTGTATCTGTGTCTACAAATCATGGTCTTTTCCTACTTTTTCTTGTAACAGTCTCAAATTCATTGGCAACAACAGTCATTCTGCTTCACTCTCATGAAAGATTTTATCCTCTAATTTTCATTCATCTTTTAATATTAAATGTTAATGCAGGTTTACAGTGATGAATAATAAGTTCCACCACCCAGATATGAATGATAATAGCTCTACATTTCAATAACTTGTAACTCCCTGATGGAAATTAATCAGCAAAGCCTTATGGGAAAATAAACCATAGAAAAAATGTCTCATCAATATCAACACAATAGTTCAATTGATAACAAAAGATAATACTCATGCCAATAAGGATGAAAAGAGCAGTGAGCTTATTTTCCAAATCCACATGTATTTTAGGTAATGTCAACCTCTACAAAATATAAAATACAAAGTGAAAGGTGTGCCGGCACTGTCCTCTTTGTGTTGAATGTAAATACCTCTTATTCAAAACCTTAATATTGTTGTCCCGGAAACTTTTTTGGGTCAATTTATATTTTTCAATATCCATTCTATTAAGGAAAATAATCATTGATAGGCAACTTTCTTTTGTTGTCCGAAAAAACTATCATGGTCAAACTACCTATGTGAGTCCTTTTGTTGAACCTAGATCCCAATTATGTCAAATTTATGATAGCTCTCATACAATTTCAGTCTTCAACCCATATTGCATATGGTAACACATAATTTGTATATTCTTCTGAAAGCATCCAAACTTCTGCGATCTTGATCATTCAAAAGAAAGGTTCATGTTGCCTATTTTTCTGTAAAGGCACATCACAATTGGTAGTTAGAAAATCCAAAGGTCATGTGTTGAGCATGATATCATTTCATAGGTTATAGGCTTCTAGATTGTTTTTATCTTTTTTGATGATGCATAGTGATTTGGTCGTCTTTTGGGGGAATATTCAGCTCGATATTCCTTTGACATCATGGGCTTCTATAGGTGATGAATTTACTGATCTCTTTAGCATTTATGACTTGTTTGTTTCCTTTTTCTATAATTATCTTGGATTTTGCAAGATCTATATGTAGATAACAATAATTGTTATGCATCCTCTCTGTTTTATTAATTATAAATGATAAGGATGTGAGAAGATAAGTGGAGGAAGCAGGGATAAGTTTCATGATGTCTCAATATATCATCCAGCAATGAAAATTGTCAGTCCGGTGAGAACGAAGCTCAAAGTGACGTTCTAGGTCCTATGTTGAATCCGACAAGAGTACCCTATGCTATTATTAGTGTTTACAATAAAGATATAGCGAGTTTTTTTTGCTGACAATTTATATTACTTGGCACTCTTATTTCTATTCATCTAATATGAGTTATATGACATCAATGTCGCTATTCTTTTAATTATGTTCAAGCGAGTTTTTTGCTAGCATCATATCTTAGTGGTGTTGGTGTCATCCAGTGTATTGATGAGTTTCGTCATGCAGATGTGTAAAGGACATCTGAAACTAGGGATTCCTTTAAAATGCAATTAACTGAATATGAATGAGATAAAGAAGCTAGTAGGCAACACAATGCACTACATGAAACAGAGCCATTCGAAATTTGGAAAGTGGATTTTCCTTCGTTAAACCTTATCTTTGACAGTTTTGCATCTTCGTGACTATATGCTAAAGTTGGATGCTTTTTTGGAGGTTGGATACTTGGATTTCACTACAAGGTGTTTGTAGGATGGGAGCCAGATATCATGTTACCCTTCATACAGTTGTGACTTCTATTTTCCCTTCTATTTTGAAAAAGTTTTTATTTGTAAATGTTTGCTCAAGGACTTCACGGTTTTGTTAAAGGCAATATAAGGCCTTTGATTATTATTTTGCTAGGTAATGAAGATGGCTAAAACATTACAACGATTTGGGATGAAAAGAGCATTGGTAGTTCATTCAGAGTGTTTAGATGAAATAAGTCCACTTGGTAAGATCTCATCCTTTATGTGTATCTATCGGTGAGCAGTCTTCTAAGTTGTTTCTTTTTGTATAGTCTATATTTCTTTCTCACAGATTTTTATTGGTTATTTATAATAAGCTTTTATCTCATAAGCTCTTAGTTGGCTCTGTAATTGTTGCAGGACCTGGATATCTTCTTGATGTGACACCAACAAAGATTGACAAGTTCCATTTAGATCCATGTAAGAATCATTTCACTCATACAATTTTAGTAGTATATATATTCAGATGTAAAATTTTGCACTATTTATGTTGTAGATATTTCTGATGGTATTTCTAGTTACATGAAATTGGACAGTTGAGCAACAGGATCTCTCATGTAGATGAATGTCGTTATTCAGATTTCTTGTGGAATGTCGAGATTGAGTTGCTTTCATACTAACTGTGCGTGTTTGTTGATACAGTGGACTTTGGTATTCCTCGCTGCACCCTTCCAAGCCTAAAAGGAGGAGGTCCAGAATTCAATGCCAGAGTTCTTAGGAACGTACTTTCTGGTGAAAAAGGATCAATTGCAGATGCTATTGTAAGTTTTCCTGTTCTTCACGTCTGCTCCTCTGAGTCTTTCCTCTATAGGAATTCTAAAATACCTTTCTGGTGTAACTAGGGAAGATCAACTTTAGTAGGTTCTACCCGACTGATACCGTAGATAGAAAATGTTCTCACCCGGCCACATTCGTACAAACAATGTTCATATATACGCTCACGAACAAAACATAATAAAATTAAATTGAATCAGTATGTGTAATTTATGTATACGCAGCGTCTAAGCTCATAGGCACAACTTTGTCAAGCCCCATCTTTATGTGATATAACTAAGTGTGTGCATAACACTTGGGTGCTCTGCAAATTTTACTTGATGAGTCATCAAAAGTAAAACAAACAAAAAGGTGTGAATTACTAAAGAAGATAGTTTTTGATGGTTCAGCACATCCTTGTTGTAAGGAAGGTTATCGTCCAAGTGTGAGACTTCTGCTAATGCTTGTACACTTGACTAACATTGTCAAAATCCCGAAGTCGCTCAGAAAGTTGAGAAAGAAGAAAGTCAGAAAGTTGAGTGGCTTAATTTTATTGAATTTGCTTTTCTTAACATGAATTTGTTTTTTTAACAGTTAATACTTTCTTACCATAAGATATTAGTTTTAGTCAAATTAAACTAGATATCTAAATAAAAACACATGGGGTATCTGAGTAAGCAATAGCTTCTCTAGGGAACTAAGATGACTGCCTCGTAAATCTGAGAGAGGCAGAAACAACTAGATATCTAAATGAAAACATATGGAGTATCTGAGTAAGCAGTAGCTTTTCGACGGAACTAAGATGAAATATGTAGCTAAATGCTTTGATTGATAATGAATCATTTCTCTTATCATTCTTGCTATGAAAATACGATCTATTTCTTATAGACATCTCACTCTACATGTTACTTGCTGTATTTGATGTATTACTTATCTAAAAAATTTTAGATTGCAATTTAAAACTCTCAATCAACTTGCACAATAGCCATAAATATGAATCATAATGGATAACAAGAAAAACACATAGATTAATGTATTAATTATAGCTTTCTCACCTGGAATTCGAGGAACTGATTCTTGACGAAATAGCATCATGAGGCTAGATTTCCCCGCTCAATCTGCAAACCAACCCCCCGCGTCAGCCCGAAACACAAAACACAAATAAGAACTAGCATAACATAAGTTCTTATTTTTTTAATTATAAATGATTAGGATGTGAGAAGATATGTGGAGGAAGCAGGGATAGGTTTCATGATGTCTCCAATATATCATCCAGCAATGAAAATTATCAGTCCAGTGAGGAAGAAGCTCAAAGTGAAGACAGTCTTCAACATTCTAGGTCCTTTGTTGAATCCGGCAAGAGTACCCTATGCTGTTGTTGGTGTTTACAATGAAGATATAGTGAGTTTCTTTTTTGCTGATAATTTCTATAACTTGGCACTCTTGTTTCTATTCATCTGATATGAGTTATATGACATCAATGTGGCTATTCTTTTAATTATGTTCAAGTGAGAGTTTTTTGCTAGCATCATATCTTAGTGGTGTTAGTGTCATCCAGTGTATTGATGAGTTTCGTCATGCAGATGTGTAAAGGGCATCTGAAACTAGGGATCCCCTTAAAATGCAATTAATTGAAAGAATGAGATAAAGAAGCTAGTAGGCAACACAATGCACTACATGAAACTGAGCCATTCGAATTTGGAAAGTGGATTTTCCTTCGTTAAACCTTATCTTTGACAGTTTTGCATCTTCGTGACTATATGCTGAAGTTGGATGCTTTTTTGGAGGTTGGATACCTGGATTTCACTACAAGGTGTTTGTAGGATGGGAGCCAGATGTCATGTTATCATATTTGTCCTTCATACAGTTGTGACTTCTATTTTCCCTTCCATTTTGAAGTAGTGTTTATTTGTAAATGTTTGCTCAAGGACTTCACGGTTTTGTTGAAGGCAATATAAGGCCTTTATAATTGCTAGATTATTGTTTTGCTAGGTAATGAAGATGGCTAAAGCATTGCAACGATTTGGGATGGAAAGAGCATTGGTAGTTCATTCAGAGGGTTTAGATGAAATAAGTCCACTTGGTATGATCTCATCCTTTATGTGTATCTATCGGTGAGCAGTCTTCTAAGTTGTTTCTTTTTGTATAGTCTATATTTCTTTTCACAGATTTTTATTAGTTATTTATAATAAGCTTTTATCTCATAAGCTCTTTGTTGGCTCTGTAATTGTTGCAGGACCTGGATATCTCCTTGATGTGACACCAACAAAGATTGACAAGTTCCATTTTGATCCATGTAAGAATCATTTCACTCATACAATTTTAGTAGTATATATATTCAGATGTAAAATTTTGCACTATTTATGTTGTATATATTCAGATGTAAAATTTTGCACTCATACAAAGATCGAAACTCCTGTAAATTCTTTTGGTGATGCAGAAACTGAAGCAAGGAGCTGCCGCAGGTCTGGGTGCTGCTTGGACACAATATTTATGGTCTCAGATTCTTTAATCAAACAGCATTGCATCTCAATAATAATAAAAGTGTAAAATAATAACAATAATACTCCTTGGGCGCCATACAGAGTTCTGAGAGTTGGTTCATATTGTTATCCAAGTTAAGCTGAGGCAGAGTCACGAGCGACGTTGAAGTTTGGCAGAGATCAGGCAGAAGATAGTCTTTGATGGTTCAGCACATCCTTGTTGCAAGGAAGGTTATCGTCAAGTATGGGACTTTTGATAATGCGTTTGATAATGCTTGTACACTTTGACTAACATTGTCAAAATATCAAAGTCGTTCAGAAAGAGAAAGGTGAGAAAGAAGAAAAAGTCAGAAGGTTGAGTGGCTTAATTTTATGAATTTGCTTTTCTTAACATGGATCTGTTTTTTTAACAGTTTAATACTTTCTTACCATAAGATATTAGTTTTAGTCAATTTAAACTAGATATCTGATGCCGGACGATGAGAATTTTAGGGTTTTACGTTAGGGATTTGGGAAATTTGGAGAAGAACAAGGATTTGGGGAAAGCTAGGGTTTGGAAAATTAACAAGATATGACCACGAATCACAATCTGGGACTTGGCTTCACCACCATTGACTCAATTTTAGAGATCAAATCAATTGCCCAAAGTTTCATAAATGAAACGAAATTTTGTTCGAGTATTCATTGTCTTTATTCATAGAATTAACCCCTTTAAATAGACCTTCAACAACTACAAGTTCACTCCCATATCCAATGTGGGACTAAAATTATTGAGCAAATACTATAAGAAGAAATAAAAGTAATATTAGCTAGACTCCAAGTCTTCTCAAGATCAAAGCTACGTATGAGCTGAAGTAACATGATGGCGGCGGCGAAAATATGTGCGAAGTGGAGGCTATGTGTTGTCCTCATCAATTCCCCGGAGTGGGAAGAACTCGACCCTGTCGAGTAAGGCTCTAGCTGGCCCTCATAATACTCCAACAGATCTGGAGCTAGTCGCTGCAAGTCCTCAAGAGTAATCCATGTATCATCCGATTCAGGACGGCCTTTCCAACGCACTAGATATCGTCTGCAACCACCATCTCGGGTGGAGATGATTTGGTCATTCCGAATGCTATTAATCTGTTCAGCTGTAAATGGGACAAAAGTAGTAGGCAGTGGTGGCAATGAGGGTCCCTCAAGGAAATGATCAGAGGTAGGTTCATCAAGATTCACAAGTGGATTTTCAGGGTTAAAAGGAGGACCTTTATAAGCTACCAAATCTGCAATATTAAATGTCGAACTAATTCTGAAATCTGAAGGTAAAACGATTACGTAGGCATTTGAGTTAATTTTCTTGATAATCTTAAAAGTAATTCTGAAATCTGAAGGTAAAACGATTACGTAGGCATTTGAGTTAATTTTCTTGATAATCTTAAAAGGCCCAGCTCTACGAGCATGTAATTTCTTGACGGCTCTAGGTGGAAACCGTTCTGGACGAATCTGGATCATTATATAAACACCTTCGTTAAACTCAAGATGTCTTCTATGTAAATCAGCATGGGACTTATATTGTTCATTGCTTTCTTGAATTTTCTTGTTGATTCTCGATGCAAATCATGAATGTGTGATGCAAATGCAACTGCTGACTCGAACACCTTAGGATGATGCGACATGGGAATAAGATCTATATGCTTCCTAGGCTTGTAACCATGCACAACTTCAAATGGACTCATGCCTATTGATCTATTGACTGACCTATTGTATGCAAACTCTGCAGTGGGTAACAGAATATCCCAATTTCCTAAATTCTCACCAACCAAACAACGTAGAAGATTGCCTAGACTCATATTAACTACCTCAGTTTGACCATTAGTTTGGGGATGAAAAACAGACGAATACTGAAGTTTAGTCCCCATCTTGTGCCATAGAGTTTTTCAAAAATAACTCATAAATTTGACATCTCTGTCAGATACAATGGTTTTGGGCAAACCATGCAATTTGACCACGCCATCAAAGTAAATTCGAGCAATTTTGGAAGCATCAGACGTCTTATTGCACGGCAAGAAGTGGACCATCTTAGAAAAGCGATCCACAACTACAAAAATGGAGTCATGTTTTCTGATAGTCTTAGGAAGTCCCAACATGAAATCCATACTCACATCCTGCCAGGACGATCTGGAACAGAGAGAGGTGTGTACAAGTCAGTATTTTGTTTATGTTATTTAGCTAATTGACAAGGGAGTCATTGTCCTACTAGGCTACTAACTTCGTAACATCTCTTTTAAGGCTTGGCCAGTAAAACAAAGTTTCCACGGCCTCTATAGTCTTTTCACGACCAAAATGACCAGCAAGGCCTCCTGCATGCAATTCCCAAACAAAATAATCTCTCAAAGAAGTACGGGGAATGCATAATTTGCAAAATCGAAATAAATAGCCATCTTGGAGCAGAAAACCATCTATCTCGGGAGTCACTCCTTTTAAAGAATTTAATATCAAAAATCTTAATTTTAACACACTGAGTTAAGCTTCAACAAGCAAAACATCAATTTAACATCTAAACTAAACTATGTGGATGAGTTTGGATGCAAGAGATCTTGCCTCAACCGTCGTGTCGAGCCTCTGGACACGCGTGCAAGATCCCTCCATGCTCAAAATCACGCGCTCTCGCCCTCCGCTCAACGATTTGCTTCAAAACTCCTCGAGGAACACCAAAAATAAGATCTAGGGTTTGAGGGGAGAGAGTGGCTATGTTCTTTCGTGGAATAACTCAGAAATTAGGTTAAAAACATGTTTATATACTTATGTTATCAATTAGGTTCAAAACAAACCGAGTTCGACCCGAAAAGCGAATCCTGATACGCCTAGGAATTCCCAATAGTCGACTACTCTCCTTAGTAGTCGACTACTCTGAAATCTCACAGATTCTGTAAATTGTATTCAGTGTTTTGCCTATAACTTTCACATACGACCTCAGAATGAGGTTATTTAAGATTTGTTGGAAAGATGTTGAAGAGACCTACAACTTTTATCTTTTGAGTTTTTCTAGATTCTAACTGTATCAGTATGTAAAATATATAACCTCTTAACTGATCATTTTTTTAGATTTCTTCTTCGTGCATGATTTGTGCATTTGCACTCACATATTCACACATATACATTGAATTGATCTCAAATCAATTTCTAACATACTCAAACATCAAAATATGTTATTTATCACCATATAACATATTTATTATTTTTTATCACATAAAATTTAAATTTTTAGGGTTTTACATACAGCAGACCGGCAAAGCTCGGGGCAAGTGGGAGTCCGCCATGGAGGAAGAAATAAAATCATTGATGAGGAATGAGACTTGGGAGCTCGTAAAGCTTCTAAGAGGGCGAAAATCACTACTGTTTACGGTTATCCCAGAAGGACTACATTGAGAAAATTCTTAAAAAAATTAGCATGGTGAAAGCCAAACCGGTGGGCTCACTGTTTGCGAGCCATTTCAAGTAATCAAAGACCTAAGCACCAGAGACTACTTAAGAGCATGAGTTCATGGCCAACATACCATACGCATCTGCCATCGGGAGTTTGATGTATGTGATGGTGTGCACGATGCCAGATATTGCACAAGGAGTGGGAGTTGTGAGCCACTTCATGAGCAATTCAAGGAAGCACCACTGAGGTGCGGTCAAGTGGCTTCTACGCTATTTAAGAAGCTCGTCCGACCGTTGTTTTGAGTATTACGGGGGGGAGGGGGAGGGGGATTTATAGCTAGAGGGTTTTTGTGATGCAGACTACGTCGGGGATATATACTCAAGAAGGAGCACGAGCGGCTACATCTTCATTTTGGGTGGTGGAGTGATAAGTTATAGATCTAAGTTACAGGATATTGTGGTTTTGTCGACAACAAAGCGGAGTACTTGTCTACAGCAGAGGCAGCAAAGGAGTTGCTATACATAGAGAAGACGCATTCCATGCTCGGACCAAGCATGTTGACGTGAAGCATCATGTCATACATAGATGGCAAAGCAGGAACGAGTTTAAGCTAGTGAAGATTGATACGAGGTACAATCCAGCCGATATGCTGACCAAGCTAATTCTGCTCGAGAAGGTGAGGCTGTGTACAGCCTCATATGGCCTCCGTTGAAAACGTTGATGGTCGTGCAAGATATCAAAGATACAAGACATCTGGATGATAAAACCAAGAATAGTGTGAAAATATGATTGAGACTCAATCAAATTTTCAAGTGGGAGATTGTCAGCTAAAAACAGCCTACCACAGCCAAAAACAGCCCACCAAAGATACAGAATCGATGCCGGTTAGCTTTTCTGTGAATGTAGGATTTTCATCCCCTTCTCGCTAATGTGTCCCAGCCTATTGTGCCATAGATCCGTACTCTCTTTGCCAACTATAATTGCGAGGGTATCACTCGCATGTGAAGTGAGGTAGAGAGCCCATGTTTTGTTGCCTCGGGCAACAATCATAGTGCCATTGGAGATCCTCCATGAATCTCTGGTGAATGTCGAAATATAACCTTCTGCTCCAAGCTGTCCCACCGAAACAAGATTCTTTTTCAGCTTCGGTACGTGTCTCACGTTCTTCAAGTTTCACTTAGAGCTCTTCATTTGTATCTGAACGTCACCCTTTCCAACAATATTGCAAGGCTCGTTGTTCCCCAAATATACTTTCCCGAAGTCCCCTGCTACATAATTCTGTAGAAGCTTCCTATTAACAGTGGCGTGAAAAGAGGCTCCTGAGTAGATGACCCAAGAATTAGAATCACTGTCCATAGCAAGGATCAAGGCATCCTGCACGATATGAGCCTTCTGATCATCCGTATCCTTCTTTGGCGCTTTACAGACTGAAGACATATGGCCCTCCTGACCGCACTTCCAACACTTCCCTTTGATGGTCCTAACTTTCGAGTTCGACCTCTTCTTTGTAGACTTCGACCGATTCCTATTCTGGTTCCCTTTCTTCTGGGTTCTGCCTCTCTGCTCAAAACTTAGAGCTGAAACTGAACCTTCTAATTCGGACGATTTCCTTCTAACCTCCTCGGATAGAATCATGCTCACAAACTCGTTCAGCTTCAACTTGTCCTTCCCCGCCGAATTGCTAATCGCGATCACACAACCTGCCCAACTATCCGGAAACTACGGTAGTAATAGTAGGTCCTGCACTTTGTCATCAAACGTGATGTCTACGGAGATAAGCTGATCAACAATCATATTGAACTCGCTGAGGTGCATCGTGAAGGACCGTTCTTCTGCCATCTTGAGGTTGAAGAGGGTTTTGACGAGATGCACATTGTTTGCGGCAAGCGGTTGCTCATACATCTTCACAAGCACTTCCATAAGCCCTATCGTCGTCTTCTCCTTCAAAATATTGTGGGTAACAGTCTTGGCGAGCGACAACCGGATTTGTCCTAAAGCCTTCCTATCCAGTATCTCTCAATCCTCGTTTGACTCCTCTTTCTTCTTTCCCTTAGCCTTGCCTATCAGTGGACGATACAAGTCTTTTTGGTACAGATAATCCTCCATCTGTGATTTCCAGTAGGCGAAGTCTGAACCTTCAAATTTCTCGATCTTTGATTTGCTTTCCTCTGCCATGGCTTTCCTCACAAATTGCTATACGAAGCTTTGATACTAGTTGATGGGGGCTCGAAACAATCAAATCGAACCTGTACTCTTCCGGATCTTGTGTTTGAAAAATAGGCAAGCAAGAAATCACCGCAAATAAAGATCAAAACTTGTAGGAAATAAAGAACAAAAGAGAACACACGGATTTAACGAGGTTCGGCAATGTGCCTACGTTCTCGGGAGCCACACCACACAAATTTTTTTGATTAATTGAAGAAGATTACAAGCTCACAAACTAAGGTTTTATCTCTCTGAGATCTCTCTCTTATCCAGCCGTCAAAAACTCTCTTTTTTGTGTTACAATAAGCCCTAAAATCGTTTAGGTATATATAGAGTCCTGAAAGAAAACAGAATCCAAAATAAATTAGGAAACTGCCAGATCACGTCGCGATCGACCGCACAGAACGTCGATTCTGCAGTCTGCAGCATGCACGTTCGCAGTCGACCGCCGCGTCTCCCGCGGTCGATTGCACAGAAACCCTGATTCTGCTCGTTTTCCTGCAGGGCTCGCGGTCGACTGCCCCTCCTGCCGCGGTCGACCGGGACGACATTTTCCTGTTTCCTTGTTTTTTTCGATGCAGCTTTGGGTCTACACAGTTTAGACTAAGCAACAATATCCATTTCTTAATTGAAATTATATGATGCACATGTAATCCTTAAAAAAACTATAGAAGGTGTTGGTTTAGTGATGCTAAATCAACAAGTTTGGGCCCTATTTCATATATTTAGTAACATATCCTTTCATAGAACTTGATGGTGAACCTATTAAAATATTTTTCAAAACCACATGAATCACTACTGACAACAAAAAAACACTAAAATTATTGATGAATACTCTAATCCTGAAAGATCCGATAGGGGGATGAATCACAAGACAAGAGGGAGAAGTTGGCATCAAATGATAATTATACTCTCTATCCTCATGACTTTCTGTATCTGACCTAGAACTAAAGCAAAAATATTTTAATCGGTTAAATTATATGGGTGAATTGTAGTTCAAGAGATGTTTTGGAATGATTCGTGCAACTTATAGTTGAAAAAAGCTATGCTTGCTGAATTTTGGTTCTCTCGCTGTCTATGTAATAGTTAGTTTTTTTTAATTATTTTTTCGCCCTTCTGTATTTTGTATCTTCAACCCTTCTAGCTAATCATTTCTATTAATAAAATGAGCTAAGGCCCTTGTTCTAAAAAAAAAAAAAAAAACAGTTGAAAAGAATATTTCATTTATTTAGATCATATGCTGATATAGACTTATATTTGACAAACAGAAGAATAGGCTCCCAACATTCATATAACAACATTGATTAATAATATTTACAATCACACTTCCCTCAAAGAAAATATTTAACTTCATTATATACAATACTCACCACATTGCGAGATCCAGGAGATCTTTACTTTATAAAATAATTAAGGGAATAAGAAATGCAATCAAACATCATTTTTTATCAGTAGAGTATCTCCGTCACCTAAGCAAAATACAATGACGATAATAAATTAATACAACTGTAACAACCACTTTTGTTAATATTTAGCTGGCCGGATTACCTTTGTGGTAATCCATCCTTTTTCTAAAAAAAATAAATAAATTAATACAACTATGTCGCCAAGAAGACACTTGCAGCTACAAAGACCAGGAAGTAAGCAAACAATAAGGGACAGAGATCATCATTTTCATTGAACCAACCAAAATACTTCGAGGTAGTAAACAACCCTTTGGGTATAAAACTAGAAATGATCTGGCACACAAAAGAAATCCTTTTACATCAAGCAATATCCAGTTTACACCATTACATTTACAGATAACCAGTTTCATTTATAACGTAGTAATTTTCGCATATTTTCCCAACGTTAAACAGACGGCTTCAGGTCGGTCTCCACCTCTCTGCTTAGAAATTGCTTGTACCATTTAGCCGATAATTTTGGAGTTCTTACCTGTGTTTTGAAGTCTACATGATAGAGCCCAAATCCTACAGAGTAACCAAGCGTCCATTCAAAGTTATCCATGAGAGACCATATGAGAAATGCTCCAGACGTCATACACAGGTATAATTATCACCCCCCAATACCCCCCATCAACCCACCCTACACACACCCCCCCCCCCCCCCCCCCCCCCCCCCCCCCCCCCCACCCCCCCCCCCCCCCCCCCACACACACACACACACCCCCCCCAACCCCCTACCCATTTAAGTTTGAGGTGTCTCAGAAAAAACCCCCAAACGTTTTCAACTTTTTAAACTGACCCTATAACGATGTTAGGTAAACTTGTAAGGTGACCAAAATACCCATTTTAAAGTTAACACTGTAATTATTAATTTAATTAATCCGGGTATTTTGGTTAAACGTGACCAAGGGTTTGTGACAATTATCTTTAAAATTATTAAAAATGACAGTCCAGGTGGTAGTTAGGTGGGTTAGCCGACAAAAACATAAAGTTTAGGGGTTTTTTCTGAAGAACAGCCTTTTTTTGTGAAATTACCAATAATCTTATGTGCAAACTGCAAGCCTACAAATGTTACCTTATGGCAGTAGCCACAAAAGAGAGGTAGTTCTTAAGGAACTCTACTCTTTTAGTGTCATTGATTAAGTCATTTAAGGATTCTCCATTATTCCTTGGCTGACCGTAACCTGGAAATAGACATATACATAGCGAAATCAATATAAACATTCACATAGAAAAAGCACAAAATAAATATTCAAAATGTTCACAACATTTTGAGATTTTTAGCACGTACCATTTTCAGTGACGTACATAGGCGTGTTGTTGTATCTTTGCATGACGTAAATGATAATCTTCTCCATGCCATATGGAACCACATACATAGTTGGCATCCCAGTCTACAGCATAAAATCATCTTTATATGTAATCTGAAATTGCATCTAATTTCATCTGATATTTTTCTACTATTCTCTTTTGTTGGTACTTACCGGAGCTCCAATAGGCACTCCGTTTCTTAGTGAGGTGGTAAATACAAGTGCATTTCCTGAAAGGTCATCTAAATCACAAGGAGAAAAAATACAGTCCTTCACATAATGACTCGAGTAGTGATTGATTCCAATGAAATCCACTTGATTTCGTAGTTTCACTTTCTCTTCAGCTGTGAATGTTGGCAATCTTGATGCTAGGATTTGACGCATTTCAGTAGGATAATCACCATAGAATATAGGATCTAAGAACCTTTATGGAGTAAAAAGTAACTTCAATGTTTCGTAAAATAAATAGGGTAAATTTTACAAAAGCTTCTTTAAGTTTGGCCAATTTTGAGATTAGTCCCTAAATTTTAAAAATGTCCAATATGCTCATCAGGTTTGGGGTGTTTCAGAAAACCCTTCACATGTCTTCAGTTTATTCAACTAACCCCTTAACTGTGTCAGATAAATTGCTAAATAGCTAATATACCCTTTTTCAAATTATTAATTACTGAATTAAATTAATTAACCAGGGGAATTGGTCGAACTTGGGCCAAACTTAAGGGGTGGTTTTGCAAAAAATTACTTCTAAAATTATTAAAAAGGACATGAAAGGGGTTTTCTGTCAGGGACATTTTGGTCATTTGGACACGCATGATTTTCACGACAAAAGGTAGACATAACAATGTTAGTTAGGGTGTTTATCTAACAAAAGTTACGGGGCCTAAGTAACATTTCTAGAGTTTAGAGGGGTTATCTCAAGAATGGCCAACCTTGGTGTGGGTTGTTTTCTGGAAATTTACTCAGACAATTATTGATACAAATAAGAAAAATCTTGATTACCATGCAGTTCCAAAAGACAGCGCCCGTTGAGCTGCCAGAATGTCTACTGTGATATTTCTAAGTGGCTCATACCATGCAGTCATAATCACAATTCCAATAGAGCCCCCTTGTTTCGCCTTAATAATAAACTTCATATAAGCAACCAATTTATATAAATGAAAACAAAGCATGTAATGTACTTAATATTTACCTGGTAATTATTTTTATAGATAGCAACAACTGTTGCGTGCGATAGTATGACATTATGGGCAGCGATATATGGTTCGGTTGAAGAATCTCCGAGAGAGCAATTTCCAAATGGTTCAGAACAGCGACCAGGAGGTTTCTCACCGTTGAGATAACCATGTATCACCATAAGGTTTGGTTCATTAAAAGTGGTCCAATACTTTACTCTATCACCAAATTCATCAAAACATACTTTTGCAAAATATGCGAAATCTTGCCTGAAAAAAATGCAAAGAAAAAAAAAATGAAAAGTCTGTTTATTATGTTTGTAAATTTCAATGTAAGATTTATTGTTGAATAAGGCGCTCTAGGTAAATGAAACTGCAATATAACAAATATATATAAAGAGAGAGATTCATATAGCCCCCTCATCTAAAGTTCCAGTGACACTTACTATGCATCAACTCTTTCATCAGACCCTACAACCCTCAATTCATGAAATAGAGGGATCATTTGCAATTTACCCTCTTCAAAATATCGATCAAAGGATGATATGTACTAATAAAAGAATACTGAACGCGCTTCGCGGCAGTGATAAATGCTTCTGAAGGTATAAATATTGCAAGCACAATGATAAAAGAAAATTACTGTATCTCTGGACTAAGCCATGCACGATATCGCTCTTCAAGTTCTTGAGGTATATCAAAATGATTCAGCGTCACGAATGGTTGAATGCCTGCTCCATAATCATTTAACAGATAACAGAACTGGTTAGACTGTATCATTTATAATACAAAATTATCATCTTGAACTCGGTCATGTAAACATAACAAGGAAACTAGAGAATTTTACCTTTGAGCAAGAGTGAATCAATAAGGTTATTGTAGAATGCAATGCCCACTTGATTAATTTCTCCAAACTGACCTCCTATTGATTATTAAAAAAAATTCATGAATATGTTGGTTTAATACATTAAGAACATTTTGGAGATAATCAAATAGTAATCTCACTTGGAAGAATTCTAGACCACGATATGGAAAATCTGTAGGAGTTAACACCCAAAGAATGCATCAACTCAATATCTTCCTGTTTAAGGACAAAGTCTCCATCATCAACGTCATGAATCTTTAAGAAAAAAAATCTACCAACAAAGTTCTGAAAAAGTTTTCATAACGATGAGACATATGGAATATGTACCTCATAAAGATTATAGTGGTTATCGGCAATATCTCCATTGCTATTATCCTTTATTTTCCCTGACATAGAGAAAGAGTTGAATTATGATTTATCCTGCGAAGTTAGAGAATATCGAAACAAACAGTAAATAAATGAAACAAAACTACAAATCTGAAGGAAGATGGCAGTATATATTAAGTTGTAATCACCAGGCAACTGAGTGAATATGTCCCAATTGCTTGGGCCCCTGTTGCCATCAGAAACTGCACCTTCAATCTGAAAGTATATATATACAATAATGTCAAAACTTCATCGAAGAGTATCAGCTTCTTAGGTACAATGACCAAGGGTCATCTCCAATCAATCGATCATGTACAACACTGAATTATTTTAAAAGTAAGATTTTGAGGTACTATATCAAAATAATTTATTGAAGGCTCTGGAACCCCATAAAAGGAAAGAAAGCAAATTATCTTCTCCCCCTCCTTTTTTCCCTTGAATAAAATGAAAGAAACCTTTTTATTTGAGAGGAGAATATAAGATAAAAGACATAACTTTTGAGGGTTATTACCTAAACCTCTTGTATTTTGTCTTAAAACTGAGACTTTACATAATAAGGTCTCATATATAATTTTACAAACTGAGGCAAACCCAAGTGGCAAAATCTCTTGTAAATAGCAAGTTAATTAGAGTTCGTTCGAAATAATGATAATAATAAGAAAACTAGAGAGAGAACTGACTTGGTAAGAAGAAGTTGAGGTCCCAAAGAGAAAAGAGGAAGAGAATTGGGCTCTCTCTATTCCTTCAACCATTACCAATAATGCAATAAATGTCAATGACAGTGCTCCCTTCTTTTTGATGTTCATCTCTCTCTCTCTCATCAAAGACAAAATGGAGACAAAATGGGGATGACCAGCATAATCAGGGGACAGTCATATATATATAGATTATATATCAAGGAGGGGATTTCCCTCCTTGACAATGATGCATGTGTCCACCAATCTTCATGGTGGGCGATTTTTCTCTCCCTACTACATCATTGTCAAGGAGGTAAAATCCTCCTTGAACAATGATACCCATTAATCTCATATATATATATATATATATATATATATAATATATATATAGAAAAAAAAAATATATATATATATATATATATATATACTATAATATATTAATATATATATATTATATATATAGAGAGAGGAAGAGAGAGAGAGAGAGAGAGAGGATGATCAGCATAATCAGGAGACAGTCATATAATTATATAATTTTCATGAGAGAAAAACAAGTTGGCACATGGTGATGGTACCCATAAAATAAATCTCTGACAGCAACGGTTCACCAGCTTTGAGGACAAAATATATCTAATTATTTGTATACTCATAATCATAATACATGGACGAGAAAAAGTCACGTGTTGTTAACAAACAAATGGAGGATAAACTTGATATTTTTATATCTAAGTATAGTAATTAAGCATTAAGTTTTGTTTTCTACAGAGATATGATCGATGCACTTGCACTCCTTCAAAAGATCACGGAATTGACGATGATTGGTGAATTAACCTGGACGTTCCACGTCAACTACATAAATGACGTATTCTCTCTAAATCATAATCTTCAACCGTTTTAACGGCTGAAAACGAATCTCCATAAATGAGGTGCGAATAAAATTAATGTTTTTCTAACATCAGAAATAAATTATAATTCGATTGCGCCGAGAGTAAATCATTTATCACAAAGACGCGCGGCCGGCGCAAATTCATGTTGAATCCCGAAAAAAAATCTTCCTCTTTTGCTAAAAGTGTTTAATTTGTAGATGTTGGTTTCAAAAATCTCGTATTTTTAGTGTAGTCCCTAAATTCTTTGAATTTGCTGTGCATGCAAGTTACTTCAAATTAGTCCCCGTGATCGATGAACATGCATGTGAGCAGGAGAAATATTCAGTTATAAGCTTAACTTTCGGCTAAATCTTCAGATGCATCCTTTTATCTAGCTAGGTTTTCAAAATTTGAGAGACTATTAAAGGAACTAGTATTTAAAAAAAAAAAAACCTTATATTAAAATACAATAGAAAATTACATACATCTCTAGAATTAAATATGATTTTGTTAGAGAATTCGGATCGGGTTACCGGGTCATGAGAAACACGTGAATCGGACCCGTTTGAGCCAAAAACGAACCCAGCTCCCGCCTCCCGACTCCGAAGCATCGGACTCGGGACCGAAATTTCGATTTCAAGATCGAACAAATCAGGGTTTGTTCCCCGATCAAATCACTCGCCGAGACGAAAATGGCGAGGGGATTGCTCGGAAAGATCGCTGGGAAATGGCAGCAGCAGCAGCAGCAGCTCCGCCGCCTCAACATCCACGAGCACCAGGCACGCGAAACCTAGGGTTTCTCGAGTTCTTTTTTACTTCGTTTTTTTGGCTTGTTTCATTTGATCGATCGGCGCTTAGAAATTATTTTGGGGAGTTGCTGTGTCGTCGGCCGAGGAAGTCAGAAAAGCCATCAAAGATGTTTTCCTTGTGAAAAGGAGGTAAATTTCACTTTTTTTTTACCCATATAGAACCTGTCTATTTTTGGGGAGTTTTTATTAGGACAAATTTTCAAAATCACCCTTTTTGCCATTTTATATAGCAAAACCGATCCTTTATGAAAATATTCAGCAAAACCGACCCTTTTCTTCTGAATAGGGTCGGTTTTGCTGTCGGAGAAATTTTACGAAATACACGGAACTGCCAACCCCGTGTATTTCGACCCAGTTTTGAATTGCACAGGACTAGCAGTCCCGTGCAATGGATTCCTTTGCCTCTGCTTAAAACACGGGATTGCTAGTCCCGTGTTTTAGACAGAGAGCACCGTGGCTACAAACAAACAAGTGCACAGGACTGCTAGTCCCGTGCACTTCCTGGCCACAATGAAATGCACGGGACTAGCAGTCCCGTGCATTTCCTATGCACACATGTGCATGTATTTCTGTTGCGTTGTTGCAATTCCTTGTACAAATTCATATTTCAAATGCATATATCAAATCCAACAAATGCCTTAGATAGCATAATAATAACTACAAATATATCAAATCCAACAATTGATTCCTTTCAAATGCAACAATCATAAATTACACCATTGCATTTCATGTCAATTCCCTGTATAAACACATATATCAAATCTAAAAATCATAAAATACACCACAAACTCATACAAATCCAACAAATCACGCCACAAACTCTAAAAATCATAAAATACACCACAAACTCATACAAATCCAACAAATCACGCCACAAACCCACTTACGAATCCAATAAGTCACACCACCACCACAAACTCATACAAATCCAACAAATCACGCCACAAACCCACTTACGAATCCAATAAGTCACACCACAGTCTCGGCTACAAATCCAAAAACCATCTATTGTCTCGAAATACGTTTGTAATGTACATATCAAATTAGGATTGTAATCTATATAACAATAACGATTAGCTTACATATATCCAAGAACTCTTCTCCTCCTTTGTCTTCAGCCTCCTCCATCACGACCTTCGATGAGTTCATGATCCGGTTGCGTTTGTGGTTGTGACGGTCTAGCTCTGTCGTCAACACGTTAGGAAGGCCCAGCTTCATTGTCGTTTCTGCGTCGTCCTCGTCTTTGTCGTGGTTGACGTGTGTATACTAATTGCGCTACCTCTCGTCCATCATGAAGGTCTTCATGAGTTCGATGTAAGGCTTGGTGAAGCCTCTGCATTATCGACTGATATATTGATGCATGTTTCTGTGCTTCGGGATATGTACCTGCGAGAGATAATTCAAAAAAATCCAAAATACAAAAATTACTTTAAAATTCAAATTACAATATGTAAATTTCATATTTAATTCTACATTACCTGCTCGAGCCAATTCTAAGCCACGATTTGCAATAGTTTGAACATCATCTATTTCTGATACCTGCAAATTTTTCAAAAAACACAATTTAGCAATATTAAAAAATACTAATAAAAATAAATTTAAAATAAATTTGAAAATACTTACTAATTCTCTCTCATCTATACCCCGAGGTACATATCCTCTTTGCAACTCAACCAGGGATGTGGTCGCATGGAGTATCCATCTTCTGGTTATTCCCTAATACCAAGTGTAGTAATCTGATTCCTGGGGGGTTGGCTCAATTTGCTCAACAATACAAAAATGTCTATCATTCCATCTGTGTATATAATTTTGATGCTTAGCTGCCCGGTCCTTTTGTTGGCCTCCTTTCTTCGCCTTCCTCTCTATTTTTCAACAAATTTCGGAACATGTTGTGCAAGACCAACATTGATGATAAAACTGTATTGCATGGTGTAGGTAGTTAGTATAATCCGTTTCATTATCTCTTGTGATGAGTGCAGAAATATTTGGTTCAAGGTAAAGTTTTGGAGTTGCAGAATCCTGAGGAAGAAATGAAATAGAATAATGTGTGATAAGTTAACCAATATTTGATGGTTTTAGTTAGAAATTCATCTCCAACACTAGGGAAAAGTGTCAGAATGGTTACAAGAACTGTTGTTTGACTTTGCCCATGAAAACAAAAATCACCAACCCCTCCACCTAACATTTTACTGTTCCACCTACCCTATTACAATATTTTATTAATATTTTGAGCCTATATAAGGAGGTGTAGGGAGAGGGTTTAAGAGCATCGAAAACTCAGTTGAGTAGAGAAAAGAAGAGAGAGAGAGAAGAGAGTGAGATAGAAAGAATTTGTCTCTTTCTTTGTGTGAGTCTCTGGCAAGAGAGTGATCTCCTCTTTGTAATCTTCTCTTTGGTGATTAGTGAATTTCTCTGCTGTTCTCGCCCGTGGACGTAGGTCATACTGACCGAACCACGTTAAATCCTGGTGTGCTGTTTTATTTGTCCACTCTTGTATAAACATCTTCTGTGTCTGTGAAGCCCCTCCGCTGCAACAAACTGGTATCAGAGCCTGCTTAGAGTACGTGTATCTGCTTATCGTATGCTCTGTGGCTGCCACTAAAAGTGGATCCTCCACATCAGAAAATAAGTTAGATTATCATTTACTCTTTAAAGGCACTGGGTACTATTCACACGTACGGTACTATTCAAAAATACTGTTACTATTCATACGTACGGCCACTATTCATGCGTACGGTTACTGTTCACAAATACGGTACTGTTCATAAATACAGTTACTGTTCCAGTTGGCTTCAAGATGTCTTCTGCAAAGTACAAAGTGGAGAAATTCGATGGGAAAAACAGCTTCAGTTTGTGGAGAGTAAAAATGAGGGCTCTCCTAGTACAACAAGGATTGTTCAAGGTCTTGTCCGGAAAGGATAAGTTGCCGGAATCTATGCCCGATGACGAGAAAGAAGAGCTGGAGATGAAGGCGCATAGTGCCATACAGCTCTGTTTGGCCGATGAGGTCCTGCGGGAGGTTGCCGATGAAGATACCGCCGCCGGTTTATGGCTCAAGTTGGAGAGCTTGTACATGACGAAATCTCTGACGAACAAGCTTTACTTGAAGCAACGCCTCTTCACCCTTCGCATGAAGGAAGGTATGCGAATTAAAGACCACTTAGATGAACTTAACACTATTCTTATGGATTTAAAGAATATTGATGTTAAAATTGATGAAGAAGATCAAGCACTCATCTTGTTATGTTCATTACCTCATTCCTATGAAAATTTTGTCAATAACATGTTATACGGTAGAGATACACTTTCCTAGCATGTTATACGGTAGAGATACACTTTCTTTGGAGGATGTCAAATCAGCCTTACATTCAAAAGAGTTAAGGCAGAAAGTGTCTGTCGTAGGAGGAGAGGATCAAGCTGAAGGCTTGTTCGCTCGTGGTCGTTCTGAAAAGGGTGTTAGTGGTAGAGGCAAATCTAGAAACATGTCTAGATCAAAGTCCAGGCCAAGAAAAAATATTGAATGTTATTACTCTCACAGCATGCAACTGACAAGAGTAACACAGAAGCGTCCATGATTCCAGGATGTGTCTTGGTCACTAGTATGATAGACACGGAAATCATATGTAACTTGTGATCCAGTTTTGCAGGAGATATTGCTATTCCAGATGTAAAGTCAGCTTCTTTGTTTTCACAATGATAAACAAGTGATACCATGAGCAACAAATATGTAGACTAATTGATTCTTAGGCAGTTTTTAAGTTAAGACGATCACATCCTATATTGTTGTACTCATTTTCCATGTAATCTCATACTTCCACCAGACTGTACACGTTAAGCTAGTCTACAAAGGAGTTGGGCAAATTATTTAAAAGAAATATAGGTAAAACTGATCGAGACTAAAATGAACAGAGAGCATGTTCGCTTACCAGACTCCATCCACGTCTGCTTCAGCTCATTGCAAGCCGGAACAATCAAAACTAGGTATGATAATGCACCCTATGTTCCTGATGAATTGTGTAACTTATTTAGGAACAAAAGCTATTAAGTAGATGGAAACAAAGGGTAATTACCTATTTAACGACCATACGAGCCTCATAATTATCAACACAGCTCAATACAAGATCAACTCCAGTGTTTTGTGCACCTTGCTTCTTATTTCGTTTCAGGCTCTCCATGAAAACTTCAAAACCCTTCACAGTCGCAATGTTCAAGGAATAGCTCTGTGAAGAGAAAAGGAAGGAATGAAAATGATTGTGTACTAAATGAAGTCATTCTGAAGAAATATAATATCAAAATAAATAAATACCTGCAGTTGAAAGTTAAGAGTACTACAAGACTCGGGGTCAATTGTTCATGTAGAATAGGACATTATTATTACGCTTCATGTTTTTGACATGTCAGAGTTAACCTGCATATCTAACGCCGACGAATTTCTCTCTGTCAACACATTGTGAGTATGATAACTATGTAGAACTAATCCATTGTTTATGTTGCACCAAAAGGAAGAGTTTTGTAGAATCTCTTCCCTACATCACACTCTACTTACTCCTTCATGTGGTTACTCTTCTGCCTGGCTATAATTCTGACGAGGCAAGAGCAAATTGCAAAAGTACCAGGTCTCACACATAGTAGTATAGAGTAAAATAAGCAATTCAACAAAAACTCCATAAATAAATTTTTACTAGAATAAGTCTATTAGCAGTGTGATGTAGGAGTAATGAATGTAGACATAGATATAAACAAATCTGAGCAAAGAAAGGTATTAAATAAAGTTATATTCTGAAAGTAATAAATAAATATGAAAAGGGATTGTCAGTCTCCCTAGACTCACTAAGCTCCATACATTCTCCAAAACCCCAACAATTCTATCAAAATGAAATCAACTTTGTATCGACATTTCTAACATTAGGGGGCAAATTGAACAGGGTTGATTAAAAGCATGTGGCTCTTAATTGGAGAATGGGAACTATTTTACAGTAAATTTATCATCTTTTTCTTCTTCTTGATGCTTTATTAGCCAATAAAATGCAGCTTTGTATTAATCTTTGAGCTCCAAACATTAAACAGTAAAGACTACTAGACTAAATAATGGTATTTGGCTGGTATTTTAAGATCTAATAAACAGAAAATAAGTGGGAGCATGGCCAGTAAATGATATACAATATCCCACATAACACAGTGACACCTACTTCTAGTACAACTTCTGGGTTGATATCCGAAAGAGTCTGCACGGCAGCATCTGTCTTGGTCAAGCCAGCCTACAATGGAGCAACAAGTTCAGAGAGTGAGGCTATCTCCATAAAACAAAAACTATTGTTAATGGTCAACAGGAAGATGGTTTCTATCTATATCAATATCTTAAGCTATAAATTATAACCAACAAAGGCTTATTTTCGCTTTAGTACCCCAAATTTTTGCCATATTTTCACTTTGATACCGTGAAGTATTTTTTAACACGTTGATACCCCAAACTCCCAAAGTTTTGATCTCATTTCACTTTGATGCCAGTATTTCTTTAAAACTTTAATACCCCGATTTCAATCTTATTTTGATTTGATATCCCATCCATATTTCACTAAATTTTCTGCAATATTTAAAATACGTCCTTAGCATGTGATACATTTATATCCAGTATAACCAGTTGATAAGCTGGAGATAAAATTTAATGGAAACCTAATGGATGTAGACAGGAGTATCAAAGTGAAATGAGATTGAAATTTTAGGGAATCAAAGTGTTAAAAGGTGAAATGGGATTGCAAAGTATTCAAGTTTTAAAAAATACCTTGGGGTATCCAAGTGAAAATTGGGTAAACTTTGGAGTACCAAAGTGAACTCCGCTTGCCGCTCATTTTCGTCTTTCAGCATATTTGTCACCTCAGACTGAGGAGGAGGAGCAGTACATGTCTCATGTTCCTTATGCGAGTGCAGTTGGAAGCATTATGTATGCGATGGTTTGCACCCGTCCAGATATTTCACATGCAGTCAGTGTTGTGAGTCGGTACATGGATAAGCCTGGAAAGATCCATTGGCAGGCTGTGAAATGGATACTTAGATATTTGAGAGGATCTGCTAATATTGGTTTGTATTTTGGCAGGAACACAGACTCAGATTGCAGAATACTTGGCTATTCTGATTCAGATTATGCGGGCGATTTGGATAAGAGACGATCCCTGACAGGTTATATATTCACTCTTTCAGGTAGTGCCATTAGTTGGAAGGCGACTCTACAGTCGACAGTTGCTTTGTCTACTACAGAGACAGAGTATATGGCAGTGACGGAAGCAGTGAAAGAAGCTATTTGGTTGAGAGGTTTGGTTGAAGATCTCGGCTTACACCAAGGTGTTACTACGGTATTTTGCGACAGTCAAAGTGCTATACATTTGACGAAGCATCAGATGTATCATGAAAGAACCAAACATATAGATGTCAGGTATCATTTTATCAGAGAAGTTAAAGTCATCAAGATTGAGAAAATTGGTACTGCAGATAATCCAGCAGATATGATGACGAAGCCCGTACCTTCGCGCAAGTTCGAGCATTGCCTCGAATTGCTTGGAGTTCAACAAAGCGAAGGTTAAGCCAATAAGGGGCTTCTGGCGAGACAGCAAGAGTGAAGAGAAGAAGTTTTCATATTCAAAGGCAAGGTGGAGATTTGTTGTTTGACTTTGCCCATGAAAACAAAAATCACCAACCCCTCCACCTAACATTTTACTGTTCCACCTACCCTATTACAATATTTTATTAATATTTTGAGCCTATATAAGGAGGTGTAGGGAGAGGGTTTAAGAGCATCGAAAACTCAGTTGAGTAGAGAAAAGAAGAGAGAGAGAGAAGAGAGTGAGATAGAAAGAATTTGTCTCTTTCTTTGTGTGAGTCTCTGGCAAGAGAGTGATCTCCTCTTTGTAATCTTCTCTTTGGTGATTAGTGAATTTCTCTGCTGTTCTCGCCCGTGGACGTAGGTCATACTGACCGAACCACGTTAAATCCTGGTGTGCTGTTTTATTTGTCCACTCTTGTATAAACATCTTCTGTGTCTGTGAAGCCCCTCCGCTGCAACAAGAACTCTGGACTTACAGCTATATTTTTTGCCCTGTTTTCAACTCGGGCATATTGCATGACAAATTATGTTACAGGGTTATACCTTCTGGTGTAGAACTTTTGCACCTTGTATGATATTAATTTGTCTTCTTCTCAAAGTTACTACTGAACAAAGCTGAAATGGACTAATCCTAAAATCTCATTGCATCTATTTTCCCACTTCAGATTGTGGTCAAAAGCCAAATTCTTGCTGGTGGCAGAGGTCTGGGAACCTTCAAAAGTGGACTTAAGGGTGGAGTGCATATTGTTAAAGCTGAGGAAGTGGAAGACATTGCAAGTATGAGAGGATTAACTTTACTTAATTAACATCATTTTCTTTTCCCGTCTTGTGTTGGTGTCATCTTGTTTTTGGCATAAAACTTTAAAGTGTTGATCTTAGGTTGATCACTTTGGTTGGAATGAGCTCAAGTTATTGAAAGATCATAGGGATGGTAGTAGACATGGGCACTATCGAATAGGTTAATGTCATGAACTGGATGAGTAAGGGGAACGTAGAATTTCATGACCTGAAGAATAACCTTCCCATTGTCATATTGTTTGCTTAAGGTCCCTTGTCTACCTTAATCAACCATTGTCTACCTCAATCTATTGGAATAGAACAAATGCATTTTAGGAGCTCAACTATGGACCCTGATTAGTTACTCTGCGCTGAGAGGAAACTTGGATTGGGAAATTAACCTTGTTTAAGGATATTCTTTGCTTGTCACACCTTTAACTTATAAGAGTTATTTAATCTATTAGGTTCACATCTTGCAATCTATTTTAACTGTATAACGTATGGGAGAAGTACCTCTTTAGCTGTAGGCTCAATTGAATATACACAGCTTGGACTGTGGTTCATGCTGAAAAGTATCACTTGAATAGTTGTATGATATAATGGTGCATATCTCTGCCAACGCTACTGTATATCTTCTCCCAGCATGTCCCTCAATTAATGGCTTTTGTTTGCATAACAGGCGTCTGTCTAATTGAGGATTCTCAACTAGCAGTTGACTGAGTTTTTAGGTCCAACCATTTGTCTGATCTCAATCATCCATGATTTCATCCCTAATTCCTGTGCAAGGTTAACTTGGTCGAGGTAAGGGGGAAATGGATGCCTTTTTTTAGTAGCCTGCTTCAGGCCATAAAACTAAGGACCATTTCTGTGTGCTCATGTATTCTTCTTTACGGTACTGGAGTCCTATATCCAAACTAAAGTATTACCAAAGCTTTTCTACTGGGAATTAATGAAAGCTGCAATTTTTTTTTGAAATATCCACTATAATTCTTGTACCTTTTTAACTTATTCCTGTATTATTAGGTAAAATGCTTGGGCAGATTCTTGTCACCAAACAAACTGGTCCTCAAGGAAAGATTGTGAGCAAGGTTAGGGATTCTTGCTTCTCTTCTTCCATCCAACTAGTTTTTGATTATTCAAGATTAACGTTTAGGTCCTACTTTTTTTTAATCGAAGTTTGTTATCATATACTTTCTGAAGGCAGAGCTGCTAATTAAAGAATTGATATTATAATTCATAAAATAAAATCCGAAAATGGCTGTGATGCATACGTAGGGTAACTAGACATACATGCCAATTGACATATAATCGTCTGATTTGAATATTGCCATGCATTCTAGTATGTTTTGCTCAACGAACTGCTTTTAAAGTTTTGGAATTTGCTCGGCCTGTTTAAATGCTGAGTTAATTACATGGTTGCCTTGTATTCTCTTTGGCAGGTGTACTTATGTGAGAAGCTGTCACTTGTAAATGAGATGTACTTTGCCATCACACTGGACCGTTCTTCAGCTGGTCCGGTATGTTTAGAATCCAAATTCCAGCACCATGATAATGTTAACTATGTCGATCTTTCTTTCTTTCTTTCTTTTTTGTGTGCACGGGTATGCCTGATACCCTAATCTAATGCTGAAATAACATATAATCATTTTAATATCATCTCTTGTTTTGCACTTTGTATCCTTGGCCGACTCTTATTTCTTCAACTTTGTTTGTCCCTTTTTAGTATTTTCTCCTTCATACAGCTTGCTACATTTATGTATCTGTTAGAGCTTACAGATAATCTTTCAAATACTAATGGATATCATAAGCACAGTTTCTGCGTGCATCATCTTTGACAACATTGTTTGACGTATGTTACAACTAACAAATGTGACCTGACCATGGATATGATAGAATATGTTTCTTCAGATTGATTAGTTGGTCATTCTTTTGTGGTCTTAGTATTAGTTTGCTGTGCATTATAAAATTTGAGATAGCAATCTTGTGTTGAAAACGCTGTTCCTGATGAGGGTTTATACTACAGATCATCATAGCTTGTAGAAAGGGAGGAACCAGCATCGAAGACCTTGCAGAAAAGCTCCCTGACATGATTGTCAAGGTGATCTTTCTTTACATTCTTTTTATGTACCAGGGATTGTATTGGATTTCCATACATTACCATCTGTCATGCCCATCATTCGATTCGACTAGCATCTTCTTAAATTAATTACTGACCTTCAATTTTATCAATGGGAAGGTTCCAATTGATGTTTTCAAGGGAATCACAGATGAAGATGCTGCCAATGTTGTTGATGGCCGGGCACCTAAGGTAGCAGTTTGAAACGCTTCAATAGAACAAGTGAAGAAGCTTTATAATCTCTTTTGTGCATGTGATTGCACATTGTTAGAGGTAATCCCTGGATAAGTTTTTGATATCCTACTTGAAGTTGTCGTCAAATTCTTTCTCTTGTGATTCCTTTTCAGCATGTGTCCAATTTTTAAATTTAAAATTTTTTGTTTAGATAAATCCAATTGCAGAAACATCAGATAATCAGCTAGTAGCCTAGTAGTAGCCGGTGCGAAGCTGAATTTTGATGACAATGCAGCTTACCGGCAGAAGGAGATAGTTGCTCTCCGTGATACATCCCAAGAGGATCCTAGAGAGGTTTGGCACATTCTCTTAACATTCTTACGGATGTTTATCGTTGAACTGCTTATGTTTTCTTGAAGTGTTATTGCAGCATATATGTTTAGTGGGCTCAACTATCAATTAACTTAATTATGAATGTTGTTGTAACTACTCTACCCAATAAATAGCAAAATATGAATTTCCTTAATCTGCCCTCCAAAAAATTCTGGATTGATCATTCCATACAAGTCATCATCTTTTGTGTGACATTCCATTATTCACATATATCTCCTTTTTACATCTGTTCTGAAGGTTGTTGCTGCCAAAGCGGACTTGAACTACATAGGATTAGATGGAGAAATTGGATGCATGGTGAATGGTGCAGGGCTGGCGATGGCTACTATGGATATAATAAAATTGCATGGTGGCACACCTGCGAATTTTCTCGATGTTGGTGGAAATGCATCAGAAAACCAGGTAGGTTTGTATCTAAGAAGTGTATTTAGCCCTGAAATATGCAACCACAAACATCTGATTTGTTAGGATTAATATGCTATTTTAGAGGTTTAACTCTCAAGGAGCTTGTTATTTTCAGTATTTCTTTTCAGAATTCCTACATTTGATTCTTTTTATAATGTGTAAAGAATTACTATTTTCATACAGGATACCTTGCTTGTATCATTTTTTCTAACTTGTTCCACATATATTGCCTCGAAGCATTTAAGAATTTAACGTCAGATGATAAAGTAAAAGCAATTTTGGTCAACATATTTGGAGGAATCATGATGTGTGATGTTATTGCAAGCGGAATTGTCAATGCTGCTAAGCAGGTTTGATCAAGTTGACGATTATGTTATTATCCCTTATCACCGGGTTTCTCTCAACATGTTAGTAACCTAGATCAACTACCTAAGGACTGAACTTAGATTTCATCTAGCACGGAAGCACTTGATGTAGTTAATGAAAATGCACACTAGGTCACCATCCTTCCGCAACTGTTTCCATAGGGAACTAAATTTGCATAACCACTGCCTAGCTTGGAAAAGCCCCCTAAAAGTCCCCTAGCAAAATCATAATACCTCAAGGACTTACTGTGTACATTACTTTAAGATTTTTTTTTGAACTTGGTCCCTTAAATCTTTAATATTTTGAACTTTGTCCCTCAAATCATTGAATTCTTGAGCAGTGAGATGTCGCTGGTTGGTGTTCCTTGAGCTCTTTTCTGGTTTGCTTTCTTTTTTCTTGAAGAATAACAGTTTGTTTTCTTATATTTGGCAGGTTTCCCTCAAGGTACCTGTGGTTGTTCGATTAGAAGGTACCAATGTGGATCAAGGAAAGAGAATACTCAAGGTAACCAACTATAACATTATTACATGATCTTATTTTGAATTTCTTTCACGCCATGATGTTTGCTTAGTGCTTTATTATCATGCAGTATGCAGAAAACACGTAAATTTTAGTTAAAGATTTTGTAAACATGCAGGAAAGTGGAATGACTTTGATTGCAGCAGAAGATTTGGATGCTGCTGCTGAGAAAGCAGTAAAAGCTTCTAGAGTTGAGCAATCCAAGTTCATTCACACGTTTAATTTTTTTCTTCTTTTTTTCGTTATGATAAAAAAAAAAGAAACTATTGCTTGCTCACCATGCTACAAAGAGAGCCTTAACTGCATTTTTTGGCGATAGTAATCGTCTGAAAGATCTTGTACTTAATTCTCGAGTGCTAATACTGAAATAAAGGTGCAAAGGCGGTTTTGGTTATTTTTTAATGCCATTGTTTTACTTTGGTACATATTGGTGTTATAACTGGCGACATTTTCTAATAGGATGTTGATTTAGTTTCCCTCTTCTTGAACTGCGTATATGAGAAGTTTTCCCGGTAGAATGAGAATTTTTCTCTCAACTTTCAATCTTGTTCATTGCTTATCCGTGTAATGTTTTTCTTATTTAGCCATCTTTTGGGATCAAAGGTTGATGACAATCCAAGCAAATTCCACCTTTATCGTGTCAAGAATCAGTAGGCGGGTTTTCCTTTGCATGGATTACAGAAACTATTAAGGCTGTATTTGACTTCAACAGAAGCCAACATTTTGGAAAGGAAGTTGAAAACAGATAAATTTAGATAAATTTGAAGCAGTAACTCAAATCCGATGAATTTCTTGATCCTGTAAATTGAGAGTAGATCCACAAAAGGATGGATCGAACCGTAATCCCACTTTTGCTACCCAAATCCAACTCGTACCATACAAGAAGTTTATCAAAAGAAGGATTCTACGTTAAGGACTTAAAACACTTTTTATTACAGAACTTTACTCTGTGTATGCTAACGTTCAAGGTGGCAGGATGCGCATCAAATTGAAACATTTTACAGTGTAAGTACAACACCATTGCATCAAATTGAAACATTTTACAGTGTAAGTACAACGCCATTGCATCATTCCTCACAAGGTCCTTTCCCGCCAAAGATAAACGTGTGATATTGTACTTGCTTAACAAGGTAATATGTGAACAAGCTATATTTCTCAAACAGGACTTTAACACCTCTAATGTTGCTGCAAAACTTGAGTTTTGTACATAATGTTCAAAAGCTGGTATCAAACTGAGACATTCTTACAGTACAAGTTCTACATTAAAGACCTTAACACTTCTGAAGTCATTGCAAAACTTTGGTTTTGTACATAATGTTCAAGGTGGTAGAATGTGCATCGAAATGAGACATTTTTACAGTACAAGCGCTAACTACACAACTCGCTGGCATCGTTCCTACACAAGTCCCTCTCCTGTGAGAAATGTGTATCGAACTGAGACGATTTTATAGTACAAGTCCTTTCTACATAGCTCGCTAGCATCTACAAGTTTCTCTCTCCCGCAAAAACAAACGTGTGATTTTGTACAATTGCATAACGTTGGAATATATGAACAAGCAATATACCTCTCTAAGTACACAGCAACTACAAATACCTCCACATTGCGGGTCGATCTCTCGATATAATCAGCACCCTTGATCCCACACAATCAAAAGTAGGACGGTAGAGATCACCCGGACCAATTCTCTCATTCACTTGAAAAGTATACTGATAATCACTGCTGAAAGATTCATCAATCGCCTTGAAGCCACATAATCCCATGCTATTTATGCCCATACCAAAATAGGGGTTTCCCCATACTTGAGTTATTGAAGAGTCCTGTGATTGAGAATTATTAGAATCTGGAAGGAAAAAAATTGCCTTTAATAGCTTTCCCTGGCGAATTGAGAACTGATGAATAAAAGAGCGAGGTGGATGTTTTCTGGTATCTTTGTCTCCGATGAAAATGGATTCTCCGAGAGAAAAGATTGTGCGAACGTTAGGGCTTGGTCTAACTATCTTGTGAGCAATTCCAGAAGGGCGACGGAAATCAACAACATGGATGCCCTCCTCTGTGCAGAAAACACAGTCACTTCCTGCCATTTGTGATGAATGTGATCTGCAATTTAAAAGTAAAAGGTTCATTATAGAGAAAGAATTCATTATACAATGAGACAACCATAACTTTTTTTATTAGAGATAACTATCATGAACTTTTTTCCGGTAAACTACCATGTATTATGGATTTATGGTACTTAGGGTAAATTGTTGTGTGCTTCGCATGTGAAGCGTATCAAACAACTTGGCTTTATGTACTTTATATACCTTTTCATTTACTTTGTTGGCTATAGATGTGTGTAAGTGTAGTTTAGACTTTTAATCCTAGGTGTTAATTCCGTTAGCAACAATTTTCAACAATTGATTGTAGTTTTCTCTAATAAAAAAAATTATGTAATTCTGTAAATAACCCACCATTTTCATTATTTAGGGATAATATGCAAAGTCCAGAACTAAATAAGAGAAAACTAAGATGTAACTTAATGAAACTCATCTTCGTGCACTACAACACATGCATTGTAGTACACATTCACCTCCTTCAGAAGGAACATAAGAATAAGTTATCAATTAAGAAGTGAATCGAGGGAGAGTTAATGAAGAACCAGATCGCTGTAGCAACTATTGCATAAAGGGCGGTAACATTAATTTCAATAGATGATAACATATAAAGATGCGAAAAGAAGCTACATAATGCTGATTGTAAAGCCAGCATTCATGTGAATAACTGGATATGAGTTAGAAAGGAAAAGATAAGTGATAAGGGGAAGGTACTGCAATAATTTAAAGTCAAATACATGAAAAAAAAAAGAATGAGTGATTGCAATCTAAACTAAAATGTTCAACTGTAGAGAAATTTGATCTCCCACCTTCGGCGAACCCCTCCACCAACTTCAGCGTCAGTGTTGTTCACATGAAGGCAGTAGATCCTTTTGCCAGAAGTTGGAATAGATTTCAAAGGTTGTGCGTATGAATTGACATCCCAAAGACTGAGTGCTTCAGTTTCTGCAACAATCACCTTCCCATTACTTCTCCATTGTAGAGGACTCGAGTACTCCATCCCTACCACTGGACTACTAACATCAAAGTTCATCATAAGTTGCCCATCACGAATATCATAAGTACTAACATTCTTCTGCTTGCTGCAAGTAGACATCAATATTGATTCACATGGTATATACCACCACTGTGGGTTTTCAGCAGAATCTGGGGCTGTATCCTCAACATGAAATGCATGAACTTTTTTGGTGTAGAAGTCCCATGAACAGAAACCAGATTCCAAAGTACTCCCAGATGATGCGGCTACAACATACTTCTTGTATTCATCACCACAACTGCCACGAGTTATCCAACAATCACTAAACAAGTAATTTGGCGCTCCTTCAGGAGCCTTGTACACTGTTTTCTCCTGATAAATACCAATAATGCAAATGGAAGATCAATCCCATGCAATCAGCAAAAACAGAAACATCTCTCTTTTTAATCTAGCAACTCTAACTTATTAAACAAAAAAACATTTGAATTCAAGTAAAACCCAAAGCTCCAACCCTACTATATTTTCTTCTTTTTATTTAATGTGCAGCTATAATTGGAACGTGGTGCAGCATTCTTGGTAACCTCAGGTGAGAAATGGAATTCTTTATCCTCGGCTTTAAGTAATAATAAGGAATGGATAGCTGCAGCTAGCAATGTAGCAGCAGCTAATGCTTAAGGAGAATTAGGGGAAAACATATACTAATATAATAACAATATTAGTTTAGCGTTTTTCTTTATTGTGGTTCCCCAAATACAATCTATGAAGTCCCCCAAATCTGATATATTTTAAAGAAATCCCCTAAGTCTATAAGTTCTGTTTAACAAGTTCCCCCTCCCCTGGTTTAAAAATTGTTAACTTAGCTCCAAGTTAACTAATCTCCGTTAATTTTGCCTGCATCTTCCCAAGAGATTTTCATCTTAAATTGTTGTTCGTTGAGTCAAAAAAGTTTTCAGAAGCTTGACATATAGTATCTCCTACTCTGCCTCTCTGCTTCCTCTTCCTCGCTCTCTCCCTCTTCCCCTTCCTTTGCTTGTTGTTTGTTGAGAAATCTATAATGCATTATCTTGCAAGTATTAGGTGTAAATATCTAGGGAAGATAAGGGCAGAACTGGGAAGACTAGTAGAGTTTAATTAACTTGGAGTTAAGTTGACGTTTTTTACATGGGAGGTTTTATTTAAGAGAACTTACACACACACACACACACACACACACACACACACATATACACACACACACACACACATATACATATACATATATATGTATATGTATATATGTGTGTATATGTATACATATATATGTCTACACACACACACACACACACACATATATATACACACACACATATATATATGTATATATATATATGTATATATATATACACATATATGTATATATACATATACATATATATGTATGTATACACACACGGACTTATTGAAAATATATGAGATTTGGGGGACTTATCTAAACATTGGTTAGATTTTAGGGACCAATATAAGAAAAGCCCAAACACTTCCTGGTAACAACTAGGTTATGCAATTCGATTCAGATCGCTAGAAATTAGGGAGTTATTCAGAGAGTTTTTAAGTCTTATGGGAATTGTTTAAAAATTTCATAATTATTCTTTTAAAATTCAAATGTATTAATGAAATTCCTGACTTGTTTCTGAAAGCATAACCTATTACTTATAATCATTTTCTTTATGATAGATATGTAATTATGTATTAATGTAAAGGACAGCAAATTCCTAATGCATGAATTCTCCTCAGAAAAGATTTCCTAGTGCACATGAATGAATTGGAATAACATGAGAGTCAGAAAAGGTACTAAGACTTCAGGAGTGATCAATGCTGAATTCAGAAATGGCACCGCTATAAATGTAGGAAAGGCATCCCTTCTGCTGTTTAAAGATACTATTTCTTGTGCAAAACATATATAAAACCCGAAGTCAGCTGACAGAATTGTCATGAGAAACACCATGTAACCATAGAACGAGAACAACACAAAACTGGATAGTCACTTTCAAACTCCTGACTATTCATAGCACGATTTCGCCTTGAACATAAGATGTGCTCCAAATCATGAGTAGTTCATAAAACAACTTATATTCTCTATACTTCGTATAAACACATGAATGGATGCAGCTACAGAGCTACCAAATAAAATCTATAACGATAATGTTTAAGTAGGAAATATAACATACAGACTGAAGAATAGAATGAAATATTTGTGATGATGACAGCAACCAGCAGGGGTGGATCTATATACAGTCCAGGGGGGCCACGCCCCCCCCCCCCCCCCCCCCCCCCCCCCAAAAAAAAAAAAAAAAAAAAACTTTTGGGAAAAAAAAGATAGGGTGGTTTCTGTAAAACCTTCTCCCTTAAAAATTAAAATATAATCATTCTTTATCTCAAAACCCATACGTCGCCTGCAACTTTGCTCTTTTCCTACATAATTTTTGTCTTCCTCTTTTGAAATATTTTGGAGATATTGATGTTGGCTATTCTACTCGTTTTGTTTGGGTTGTGGTGCATCTCTTGTGAATAAAATTGTATTAAGAAAATTTTTCGCCTATCTTTTGTACGCGCCCCCCCAGAACTGAAATCCTGGATCCGCCATTGGCAACCAGCATAGAGTATTCTCAAAGAGAATAATAATACAAGACTAGCTACAGAATCAAATAGTTTTTTAACTTCAAAACTTGGGGCGAAAAGGAAAGAAATTAAGCTTCTTACCTCAGAGTTTGTAATGTCATGGTATGAGCAAGAGTTATCATTATGAGTTAAAAGAGCAAATTCGCCATCAGATATAAACCACCCTCCAGTCGTGACTTTGTTACCAATTTGATATATCTGACCCACATGAGATTCCTCAGCCTCCCCAGCTACCACCATTGCTTGCTTGTTTTTTTGATCACCCAAGTCATCATTCTTCTCACTCGCCTTAGATCCAATCTCCTCAGAGCCTTGCAAACCAGCCATCGCCTTTGATTTAGAATTAGCCTCTGAAGCAGGGCTTTCCATGTCCATCTCCTGATTTCCAGTCAAAGGGTTGTCCTGATCTACATACACAGAAGCTAAGAATTCTAATCCGACAGGGTTTTCATCAATGGAGCCCATAGAAGTTCCGAAACTTGATGAATCAGTTTTAGAATTAAAAGCTATTCTGTTCTTGATTAGAACCTCTAGATTCTCACCCGACTTTGTTCCATCTCCATCTATCACAGAACTGACTGTGTTCTCGCTTCCTGGAATCTTTTCCTGAATATCATAAAGAATCAATTTCAACTCCTCCTGGTTATTACTCTGACCCAACATTTCTTTGTTGCTTTCGATCTCAGAAGAAATTCTATGGACACTGTTATCTGATGGAACGAAGTTTTCTTGAAACTTGCTTGGATTCTTGATAACAGCTTGAACACCCTTCTCACCGGAATTTTCAACAGCTCCAATGAAACCCGAGTTTTTTCCCTGTTTATTTATTTCGTGGGAAACCTTAACGATACTACAATCTTTCAAATCAAGGGATTTAAAATTTGCGATTAAATAACCTTTATCTTTACACATCTCTGCAGTGGATTTGAGAGCCAACTCTACTGAAACCCTAGAACCAACCCCCGATTTTCGATCTTTTCCTCCAAATTTCCCCGCATTAGGCTTCAATATTGGACAATTCCCCTTCTTTTCTTGCAGGCAACTACCCGAAGGGCCGAAATCTTTAGGGTTTAGATCGGAGGGTTTCGAGGGCGTACCTCTCAGGGTTGACAATGAAGAACACGGGAGGCCTAGGAGAGCCGCAGGATTCCGGCGATCGTCGGCGGAGTTCTTTTTCCCAGTGACGATGGTGTCAGCTAGGGTTTTATTGGGCTTGGACGCCATTACGTTGCCACCGCTGACCCCTCGCTCCTTGAGAGGAGAGGACATTTTAGGGTTTAGGCCAATTGAGGCAGAGGAATTAGGGAAATTTTGGATAAGATTTGGGCAGAAATTTGGCGGGAAATCTTGGTTTCTTGGGCTACGAGGAGATAGAGAGAAAGGGCAGAGGGGTACGTGGCAGGGCGCGGGTCGATTATATATGGAATCTTTTAGGGAAACTTTATTCAATACCGTTATCTGAAATTTAGTTATTTTCAACCCCCTCCGTAGCTGTCAAATTGTTAGCATACCCAAATTTCCAAAACGAATTAGTTAATGTACTTTGTAATGAAACCCCATACTCGGACATGATGATATTATCATGTCCTGCAAATTTTATTTAAACATGATTAAATCCATGAGAGTTATGCATACAACAAATTGAAAAAGGAAAAAAAAAACTTGTTGATCTGTAGTTATCGACACTCTAGGCCATCTGCAGGCATCTAAATGCTACTACTCCCACTGCACGAAAAAAATCTGCAAGAAAAGGTGATGAACATTCTTTAGGCAAATAATCAAATGATAAAAAAAATTCAAAGTAAAATTTCCTGACATAATTGTTAAAAAAAAGTTTGCGGAGTCTAATTAGTATTTAACAATAATTATATTAATATAGAAGGTAACAAGATTTATGATCAATCTTAATAAGAAAGTTATTGAGAATTCTCTGGAAATTCAATGACAGAACTTCCAAAATAAATGATAAACAAATATCCTTTGCCGGCCATGAACATCTATCATGGTGTTTTTCTCTTTTTCAAAAAATAAGCATGTTAATAATAAAATAGTATGATTCCTAATATCAATTTAAAAATATATTATCTAATCTAGCACTGACAAAAATGATTCACCACAACATGTCTTCATCTATATTTAGTTTGCAAACTTAATCAATTTTAAAGCTTTTACTTATAAAACAGAAGTTCACAGATTTTTTATTAATGGCCATAGTATCTGTGCCAATTTCTTCATCAAGCATTTTTCAAGTGACTCGACCTCTTTATATACTCGGTAGAATTCACAATAAATTAAGGGGGACTAGTTTTTTGAAACTCAGACTAAACAATGTATAAAATTACCTCTATAAATCCAGCAGCTCCCTTAGTTCTATTGTCTGCAATGCCTTGTCGAATATTGGAATTTTTTTGGAAGCCAACATTAATTAATCGAGAAACTCGTTGCATGGTCGGACGATCATTGGGGTTTGCCTTCAAACATCGAAAAGCCACAATTACCATCGATACCACTCCTTCAATAGAATCTTCTGTTGGGGGCAAATTAAATTCGAAAATCTAGCACATCTTTCAATAGTGTGTCGTGCACGTTGGCGGATGAGAATGAGGAGATGAGTTCACCACACCAAAGCTGTACACATCGCATTTCTCAGGGACCACCATTGTATAAGAAAGCTCTGTAAGAAAATAATCCAAACGAGATTTAGGCTGGAATTTTGTTAATGTGCAAACATTTTAATGTAAATGTGTCTTAGTATTGCATGAAGCTAGATAGAAGTGCAAAAAGTTCTCCTGAGGGTAAAAGAGAGAAAAATTCATTCTCGGGATGCAACAATAGGACTATAGGGGGTCTATTGGCAATTTGGCGATGATAGTACAGGGGGTCTACCTGCAATTAACCCAAAAAATAGCGTACATAAAACACTAACCTGGGGCGAGATATCCACAGGCGCCAGCAAGAGTGGTCCAATTTGTTGAACTACCACGTAAATTTTTTGCAATTCCGAAGTCTGAAACATGAGCTCGGAAGTCCATCCATATCCAATAGAATGTTGTTGCACGTAATATCTCGGTGTACTATCGCAGGATCGCAGTCATGATGCGTGTAAGATAAAGCATGAGCTACGTCTTTCAGAATATCTACTCTTTTAGCTGTTTGTTGCAAAGTTATTTTGTGGTTTTGCATGCATAAGAAGAACTCAGCCTGTGTGAATAGTGAGATAAATGTAAGGAAACCCCAGGCTTAGGCGAAAACTGAGACTGACATAAAGGCGTATCATCCAACAAGAGGCTGCTGTCGCTTCTTTGAGCTGCGGAGGGGTCAAGACAATTAATGGAAGCACAAGTTGGCTCATAAATCTGCTTGGTTGCAGGTTTACTCCTGATCAAGACACGAGGCAAGAGATTACAACCGTGCATGTGAATGGACAGACTGGAAGTAGTTGCTATGCTTGCACCAGTTATCTGGATCTAAGGTTTGCTATTTTTGACATTTGGGTCTGCACTGAAAATAAAAAAGAAAATATCAATGCAAAAAACAACCATCTTCATTTTCTTTCTTTGGCCTTTTAGAAAATGCTCGAGCCTGATTTTACCGATAATAGACTAAACTAATATTTACTTACATAGATCAACAGAGGGATGAAGGGATGTGAAAGTAAAGAAAAATTTGCGCAAGGCGTTCTACCTTTGCGCAATGGCGGTTGGTTGAGCCATAACCCCGCTAAACGTGAAGCACTCCTCTCGATATCTTCTTCAGTTTGGCACTTTTGTGAGGCATATGCTCTATGAGTAGGTAGGTAGGTATTAAAACTCGGCCACAATTGACAGGTACAGATCAATTCTAAATGGGCATGAGTCATAAACTGGGCAGCTTGGTATACTTGTTTTTAATAATTACCATTCAGTTATGTTATGCCTAATTTGTTGAGCTATTATAAATGCTCGCGGTTTACCTCCTCAAAATTTCTTGATACCATTTACAGTATTTCGCCGCAGGTGGTGATGCACGCATGGCATAAACATGAAACCGAAGAGAATGTTTTGGCTGTATTGTTAAGGGAACAAACACTTTTCTTAATTTTCCAGGACTTTTTCCAAGCTCAAGGGCATTTTCGTTGATTTTTCCTTGTGAGAAGTCATTTTAAGGGTGCTTCTTCTTGTTCTTCCTAATATAAGACATATTCAGAGTTTTTTAAAAAAATGAAGTTTTACCTACTAATTTGATAGATGGATACAAGAATGCATCATTATTTGTTCAAATCCGGATTGTATATGGATTCACTTTGATGCATTTAGATACATTATATACTAGACGAGGCTTCATAAAAAACCAAGACAATTTTCATATTTGGATGTGAATTCATTAGCAGAAAAGACCTTCCAAGATACTGATTTTTACGAATCTAAACCCCAACCCATGCTTTCCAATCTCTTATACTTTGCTCCCCTACTAATCTGATGTTTTACCACATGTAATTAAAAAGCATTAAACCAAACCAATCTAGTTATCTGTTTTTTTTTTTATGTTTTTCTCTTTCTGGACAATGCAATTTATCTCGCAAATTATGGCTTTTATACGATCCGGACCGGCCCGCAAATAACATTGGGCCGGGTAAAGTATTTGATACCCGCTTAAGTGAAGTCCGACCCGATAAAACTAAGATTTTTCTAAAACCCTAGCTCGATCAGCTTCTACCCTCCACAGTCCCATGCTCTCTCTCTCTCTCTCTCTCTCTCCTTCTCTCTCTCTCTCTCTCCTCCCTACCCCACCATCCCCCCCCCCCTCCCCCGGCCCAGACTTCAGCCCCTCTCTCCGAGCTCTCCCACCTCCGCCGGCTACCGGAGCGCATACCGCCGAAGATCTCTCCGCTGCGCCGACCACCGGGCCGAGGTAAAGAGGTAAGTTTCTATTTGCTTCCTCCCCATCCTCTCTTGGTGATGTTGAGTCTCGGAATTATGAAATTATTTATGAAATTGTTATGGGACCACGAGATGGAAGTAGGAATTAGGTTTCTTTTCTGGTGCAGAGGGGGTTCATTTCATTGGTAAGTGTGTATTTCAATTAATTTCGTTGTGCTGAAGGTTCGTGTGATGAAAAGTTTATGACTTGATTGGTGATTTTTGAGAATTGTACATTTCATCTGTCGTAATCGCATTCCCTCTTAATGTTTACCGCCATTTTTCTGTATTCCCTCTTAATTCTCAGGAATTTCTTAGTTTTCTTTAGTTCTGTGTTTTCTTGGATATTTTTGCACCAATTTATAAAGGAAAAATGAGGATGGATACAGATGCTGGGTCAATAGCCTAGAAGCAATCATTGATTTCTATAACTGTCACAAATGCGTATAATGGTTAGAATGTGATGCCTCTTTTCAGTGATATCAAATTGGTTTTTCTTTCAAAAGTAGAATTAGAAATGAATATGTTTTGAATTTTAATGGTGAGTTGTTAGCTAGACGGTAATTTAGGGGCACTGGAGTGGTTCCCTAAGTTTCCGGCAAACTGAAGGTTATAAGTTCAAATATTGTAGAAAAATTAAAGCTTTTGGATGTTTCTGAGAATTATCTGAAAAACCCGCAACAAAGCCGTTTTTTCCATTCGAGACCTCTAAGTTGAAAGTTATGAAATAATTTCCACAAGTTTTACACTAAGATCTAAAGATCTAATAATCGAGTATCCCCTACTAAAAAGGGTTGATAGACTTGAGATGGGATTTTACAAAGAAAAGCAAAGCTTTCCAAATCAGCAAAAAATTTGCTGAAGTATAAGTTCTCTCATACCTGAGCATCGATAATATTGATGCTGTGCTTTAGTGGACAGCAAAAACTTCCACGGTCATAGGAGACATGCCACATGACAAGAAGACATGATTATCGTTATCAAATGGTTGTGTTATATGTGTGAAGCATGTGATTCATATTTAAACGCTGGTCCAAGGAGTAACTTGTATCTAGGAGTTAATAAGGAACGGCTTTGTTGTATGTTTTTAGCTTTTTGTATTCATAAAACTCAGAGATCACATATTTTCTTAAACCAAGTATGTTCAACAACTTTACTGTCAGCTGAAGTTTATATATAAACACTTCAAAATTTTAATCTAATTTGTGCACCTAACTTTTACTTTAGGAGATGTACTCCTGGTAATTCTGGATTCATGGACAATGATGTCATCAGCAAAAAGAAAGACCATGTCACAACAGAAAAAAACTCCATTTCAACTCCAGTTTCTGGAGAAATATTACTTAGGTAATTCCGATCTTGCAACTACTCTTACCTGAGTTGGTGGAATTTTTTTCGCATTAGTCTTGCATGGTTTTGTTCTCTTTTCTTAGTTGTCAGTTCAAGCCAAAAAAATGCAGCTGATTACATGCTTCTCTGTCACTTATTATACACTAATGCAGAGGAGAAATATCCAAAGCAAACAGCCATGGAAGAGTATGCTGCATCCCTGAATTTGACATACAAGCAGATACGGACATGGTTTGTTGAAAGGAGAAGAAAGGAAAGAAGGGAAAATGAAGTTCGTGGCTGCAATAAGGGCCTTTTAGAGGGACTACACAAGTTTGGCTATATCAAGTCTAGAAAGAACACAAATGTGATCAGTGGCCTGTGTAGGAACAGGTCAAAATCTATGATTAGTTCAAAATACAGCATGGCAATTAGTCAAGAATTAGGTCATTCAATGGATACTGTATTGTTTACTAGTAATGAGAGCTGCAAAAAGAACAGGAAGAAGCCAACATCTAGGAAGAACTGTAAAAATTCATCAGATATGGGAGATATGAGATATAATACTTTTTCTAAATGTCATCAACCATGTAACCACAAGTTAACTGTGCTTCGGGGGAAGTGTTGTGAAGTAGCCAACAACTATCAGCATATTGGCCAAAAGAATCGCCAAGTCTGCCTCCAAAGTTTATTCTCTAAGGACTATATCTTGAAGAGAATATTCCGCAAGGATGGTCCTCCACTTGGGGTAGAGTTTGATTCCCTTCCCAGCAGATCTTCTAATTTTCTTACAGGTACATCCTACCTCTTGTTTTTCTCAGCTACTTAAATATTAGCATGAAGCTTGCATACTCGTGCTTTTTAGACAAAGTTGAAACAGATTTTCATTTTGATTTTATTTACCTGATGCATATCTCTAATATGTGCCTTATTGAGATTTGATGCCAACATGTTGGTAATGTAGCTTGCCACATATTACCATCTTTTCTAAGTTTCGTCCAAAATTTCCCCTGAATTTGTGGGATCTTTGTTTATCCTTACATAGTATTTTCTTATGCGTTTGCATGTGACCAGCTTCTGAAACAAGACTTTCTTATCGAGACAGCCAGAGGGTCCCAAAAAGGAAAAAGGTACTTAATACTATTTCTAATTACTTTACTATCCAGCTCTTTCCTTTCCCATGCAGTAGTTGACACATACTTATATGATATTAAAAAAAAGCTAGATGACAGAATTTTTTATGCTTATCTTTTTGGTTCAGAGTGCTATCTTTTTGGCTTGCTGGCATCTGCGGATGTCAGTAAGTAATGTTACCTTCTGTTATGATTCAACCTCAGTACTTTTAATTTTGATCGAACTTTAAACATCATGATCGAATCATATGGGGAAAATGTTAATTTTTATGATATTTATCTTATGTCTATTACCTAAGGCAATTAAAATTTGAAAATGTTTTCCCCTTAGTTTCTTCTTTCTATTAACGTTACTCACATTGATGTGCAGTTGCTTTATCATACTGTGGAATCTGGACTGGAAGATGTTTCCACAACAAATTATGGTATTGGGAAAGGTTTGATGACGGTGTGGCGTGCAACAAACCACAATAAGGTGAATTGCCCATCTAAAATTAATATTTTGGATGGAGGTGCTGCACAGATGCCATTTAACTCTTCCTTTAAGGAGACACTATCTCGGGCATCCAAAGGAATGCAGCAGCGTAAACTTGTTCCGGTAGTCATCTACCTTTTTCAATTTCTGCAGTGTTTGCTATTTTTCGTTCATATGCGCACTATTAGCTCTTATCTGCATGCCTATTGTTTTCATATTGAGAGGGATGTTACTCTTACATTATTCATCCCTGTTTCCAGAAACAACATAGTTGGCAGAGAAAGTTTCAGGAGAAGAGAAGGCCTCCCCAAAAAAGAAGAAAGGTAATAATTGCCTTCTGATTATCGAACATTGGGTACTATTAATGTAAAAAAGTCATGCAAGCAGCAAGGAAGCTTCTGAACTAGTTCCTTCCTGGCATTTCAATAGGTAGACAGATTCAAAAGTACTGATGGCATACACATTGTCAAAAATTTTTTTTTTTACTCCCGAGGAGTATTCGATTGCAGACATGCATCTTAATTGTGATGAAAGTTTGGAACTTGAAATCATCAGGCTTTGTGTTTACTACTCAGGTACCATGTAGCAAGGATGCCAACCAAAAGAGACCTCCATGGACGACCTGCAAACTTGCAATTCAAGATCCAATTCTAGAACAGTCAAATGCATTGGCACAATTAGTAGATGATGAGGAGTTAGAGCTGAGAGATTTACAAGCGGGACCAAAGCCATTAAGATGTTCTGCTCATTTTGCTTCAGATGGAAGACATGATTGTCCACTTTGTAAAGGTGTGTTCATTTCCTTGGAATTATATCATGGAACCCCTATGCAAAGTGTCACAGTAAGTTTTTCTTTGTCTTCCAGACTTGCTGGCCAGGTTTCCTCCTGAAGCGGTCAAAATGAAGCAGCCATTCTGTACAAGGCCTTGGGATACTTCTCCAGAGCTCGTGAAAAAGTTTTTCAAGGTTATTGGTCAACTGAGTTGTTGTTATTTGCTGAATGAAAGGATCACGTTGCTTGCTCTCGAGTAGCAAAACTTCCCTTCTCTACTCATAAGATATATGGAGACTAATATGATATTGTTTCTTAAATTCTCCCTCTGACTGCAATTAAGTTTCATGTGTACGTGTGTAATCATGCATGTGTGAGTGAAGGGGAATTTATGAAGAGAGTTTTGTTTCCCCTTTATAATTTGGTGGCACTTATCTTTTGGAATTTCCTGTAAACAATTTCTTTTCTGTCATTAACTTGTTGGTACATGGAATATGTGTACTTTCACCTATAAGCCAGTCAACCTTCTTAAGTTATTTGTTTAGACCTAGTACAACAACAATAGCAACAGCAAAACTGTTAGCGGAAATTTTTAGGTTTTGCTGCATAAATTCTTTTTCTTATTCTTCGTTTAAGCTCTATAGTAGTCACCTCTGGTAGTACACAACAGTGATATCCTTTTTTTTGCTCCAGTCCATGTTGTTCGTCATTCTAATCCTCCCTTGTGATCAATTGCGAACCGGTAACTGATTATGGGGCACTGATTTTTTGTCCAGTGTGCATGTTTAGATCATGAAATGATTGTTTTCTCTCTACTACTCACTTGAAGAATGCATTAGTTAAAATGCATGAAGTAAGCTTGCTTAAACTTTTACTTTTGTTGAATCTCACATGTTATAAACAGTTTTTGTGGTCACAAAAGCACAAATAACTCATTATTTTCTTCTGAACATTTGATGCATTTGTATTTGTAATGTTATGTATTGAATCATTGATGTCTATTTCCTGATCAGGTGCTCCGGTTCTTGTATAGTAATGCTGCTACCATTGAGATACACCCCTTCACTATTGACGAACTAGCCCATGCATTCACTGATAAGGTTATTTTATTTAAGTTTTGGCTTACACTTGAGGGCCATGTATTGATTCCATTTGTAATGTTTCATACCCGTTTCATCATAAAGTACTGAAAGCATTCTTATATGCTCTAGGATTCCATGTTGCTAGGAAAGATTCATGTGGCTCTCCTCAAGCTTCTTCTGCTGGATGTTCAAAGGGAGGTGACTGCTGGATCAATTTCTCGAGCACCGAAAGATGGCAGGTTTCTTGGGTTTTTACACTTTGTAAGTCTAAGATGTCATGCCAAATGCATACTGAACCATGATCTTGCTATCTTTTTTATTGTTATTAGTATCACCTGTTTACCTATTTTTTCATAACACGATAGATCCATGCAAGAAGTCTCAAACTTAACTACACTTCTTCAGTATAGGAGATTTTCATTTTGACTATGCTTCTTCCGCATGGGAGGTTTTTATTTTGATTAACTTGTCACTTCTGTACATCACTAGAACAGTTAATGTGTTGCATACAATTTTCTAGATTTACTGCTATATATATATTTGTATGTGTTAATAGATACATGCCTGTGCTTACGCATATATTCATGCACATAAGGGCATGTATACTATGCTTGCTAAGAATGTAGTTATGCATGCACATGTAGGTATATGTATAGTAAAAATGTGCAAATGAGGCATATCTTGAGGTGTTTTAGGCGAGAATGCCTTGAGACACCCACTAAAAGGCAGGAGAAAGGCGTAATGTCAGCATATTGCACAAGGATCAGTGTACTCCTTTTTTTCGCTTACACGAAGCTTGCGCTTTTTAGACTGGTTCAAAGTATGATTTGTTTCTTAACTCTTTTGCATTTTCATGGTTGGATCAAAGCTATGGGTTTAGCACTTTGAATAAGGTTAAAAAACAAAATACAATGCTAGCTCTTGTTAATAATAAGAACTTGATCGATAATTATATTAACTTAAATTTATTTCTTCTTATTTTGTGACATTAACAAAAGATATAGACTGATGTATTGGAAATTAACATGAGTTTACGGTTCACCTATCAGAGAGTTCATCTATAAGATTGGTCTAACATTTTCCTCATGTGGTGTTAACACTGATACATACTGCTGCTGTTGGAATCTATCTGAGTGAAATTACCCTTCTGTCTGACTGGACGCTGGAAATTCGATCAGTTTACGCTCACCATAAGTAAAAGTAGGTTTTAGTATGTGTGCAACTGAAACTAATTTTGTCTCAGGCAATCATGCATAATATAATTTTCATAAAAATGAAGTAAGTTGGATTAACTACACTAATTTATCTACTTAGTGTTTTGCCTATTTACCTTTTTAAATCCTGTTGTCAATGTTAGTCTGATTGTGTAAGTTTTTGTTTCAGTGAATATCTCATAGATATTGGTTTTATAGGTGAGAGAACACGAGATTGACGTGCATGTATGGAGTCAATCTCTTAATGCTCTTACATGGGCCGAAGTATTGAGGCAGGTTCTTACTGCAGCAGGTTTTGGTTCAAAGTCTAATAGTGCAAGGAGAGAAATCTTCAGTAAGGTACTACTGAACTGTACTTCAGAGTCATCAAGTTCTCAACTGTAGTTAAGAATTATCTTGTCGGACATGTACACTTACATATGTACTGTTCTTTCCTGTGGAAGTACGTAATATAAAATGCTTAGCCCCTAACTCATATTTCCTAAAATGTTTTCATTGTAAGGAAAAAAACAATTAAATTTGATGTCAGTGTGATATTAACCTAATTTCCTTTGGATTATAAGGTACTACTAAGTTGCAAAATTGCATTAGTAGTGCTCGTTGAATGCTGGCATGATGCGTTAATGTTAAATTATGTAGTATTGATTACAATATCACTATTGGTAATACTAATACACATACTATGCTGTCAAACTTGAAGCTTCATTTTGCAGGTTTTCTTTTCAGCATCAATGATTTTTACCTTTGATTTTATGTTATCAGTAGTATTTGAATCATCTCTTCTCCTGGCTTTGCTCAATTTCCTCATTGTTAAATTGCCTTACAATATCCTAAAACTTTCCATATCTGCATAAGTTGGGAAGACAAGAAATCCCTTGCTTTATGACATCTTATACATGTTCATTATTCAGTGGAATTAAAGAGTACGAGGTTTATAATATTATAATATTATTAATTCTGACAGCATATTCCTGAAACTTTTCATATTACCATAAGTTAGAAAGACATATACCTAATATCCCTTCCGTTGTGTCAAGTAAACTGAGGTTTCTAATGTTTAATATTAGTACTATCTTTCAGCTCTTGATTCAAAACTTAAGAATGTTTCAGAAAAGGTAATCTGCACATGTTATGTTTGGGGCTCTCTCTCTCTCTCTCTCTCTCTATATATATAACTTTCTTGTTTAATAGCTGACATGAAGGTTCCCTTCACCTCTGGATGAAACTTATTTGTCCAGCAGCTTAAGTTTTTTGCTTATTAACCCAAAGTGTACCCTGATTTATTTTTAAATCAGGGTAAACTTTCTTGTTTAATAGCTGACATGAAGGTCCCCTTCACCTCTGGATGAAACTTATTTGTCCAGCAGCTTAAGTTTTTTGCTTATTAACCCAAAGTTTACCCTGATTTATTTTTAAACCCGCTTACTTCTATCTACACCCATAAACCCAAATTACTTTTTGTATTTATCTTTAAACCCAAAAGTATAATGTACAACTATACATGTACAAAACTATCCAGAATGCCATTCAATTTCTTCTCTCTGACAAAATAACTCATTCCTTTCACTTCAATGGCATCCTTCCTCCTCCAACCCAATTCCTCCAAATCTATCACCACCACCTCCTCTCCCCTCTCCTCCTACCACCACCTCTCACCCTATCCTCTCCCTCCTCTGCCAAGTCCTCTATCTCCTCCAATACCTATAAGTATAGCAACAAATCTGTAAGTATAACAATAACACCCGTAAATACAGCAACAAAATCCGTAAGTATAGCAACAAAGCCTCTAAGTTAATGAGGAGGAGGTAGAAGAGGTGGGTGTTTAGGAAAAAAGTGATGAGCAAGTGGAGGAGAGGGAGAAGTGGCATAGAGAGGGTCGAGAAGGGTCCAAACAAAGAGGTGAAGAGGATGAGAAGAGGAAGAAGAATAAGTTATGGGTTAAGACTTAAGAGAGAAGGAAGAGGAAGAAGGCAAGCGCATTTTGGGGTTCTTTTACCTTTTTCTGTAAATAAGATACAGAAAATATGGTGTATAAGTATATCTAATGTTTTGGGCTTAAAAAGGAAAGGAAAAAATAGTTTGGGTGTATAGGTATAGATAGAAGTAAGTGGGTTTAAAATTAAATGGGGGTAAAACTTTGGATTTACCCTAATAATAATTTTCCTCCTTCCTTGTTCCTTATCATGATTGGTTTTTCTGTGGGAGTGTTCTTTCTGGTTTTGTTTCTTTCTCAAGTTCATCTAAAGATAAAATACTGTTTTATGGAAGAATACTGATATTCATGTTTAAATGAACCGCCTTGTAGTTGACCACTTATGTTTCTGTTTTATAGGAGAGGAATCAAATGGTAAAATATGGTCTACGCCCTCGTACGCTTAAAGGTGAACTATTCACCATATTATCTGATCAAGGAATTGGTGGACTAAAAGTTAGTGAGCTAGCAAAAACTTCTCAGGTGTGGTTAATAGATTATTTTTATTAGTGACAATATTTTGTTTTCATATACGATAGAAAAACAGGTGTACAGTTAAATGACAATTCATTTCTATTGTTCATTAGATTGTTGCGCTTGACCTACCTTGCACCAAAGAAGAAACAGAGCAACTAATTTGCTTGACGCTATCAAGTGACATTACATTATTTGAGAAGATTGCACCTGCTGCATATCGCCTTCGTATTAACCCGAATATTAAAGGGAAGGAGGAGCATCAATCTGAGAGTGAGGATTCAGGCAGCGTGGATGATGATTCTGGAGGTAATAGTGGTAGCAGTAGTGATGAGTCTGATGGTTCTGAGGAGTCGAACTCAGCAAGCCATGGACAAAGGATAGTCAAATACAGACACCGAAGAAAAAGAACAGGCCAAAAAGTGACCGAGTATAATGAGATTGATGAGAGTTATTCAGGGGAAGCATGTGTTCTAGGACTGATGGAAGGTGAATACTCAGATTTAAGCATTGATGAGAAGCTTGAGGCTTTAACAGCTTTGGTTGACCTTGCTGGAGCTTGTTCCAGTTTGGGAATTGAGGTAATATTAAACCGGATTTTCTTCACAGTTTTTGCAATCAATCCATGCCCATTCCATTTAAACATTCCATTTAAAGACTGTAGTCTGTGTTCTTGTTTCCTTGCCTTATTACTTGTTTCATTGACCTTCCTACCAAATAATAATTATTCTTGAAGAGTGTTCCACCAGAAGCATGTATACCTGGATGCTTCCTGGAGTTGGTTAATCTTAAAATATTTACCTTGGATTTGAAATGGTTATGTAGGAACGCACAGGAGATATACCAGAAACTGTTTCCAGTATGCTATACCATGGATCAGGTGCAAAAATAAAGAAATCATTGATGGACCCCCACCTATTGTCACAAAATCTGGAAATAGTCTCACAAGCATCTAAGAAGGGGCAATCTTCCTTAACAAAGAGCAGTATTGCTAAAGACAAATCTGGGCATGACCTGCATGCAATGCAATCAATATGTTTAGGATCTGATCGTAGATACAATAATTATTGGCTGTTTCTGGGTCCATGTGACATAATTGATCCAGGACATCGGCAGGTTTATTTTGAGTCTTCTGAAGACGGCCACTGGGAGGTCATCAATACGCCACAGGTTGCTTCTTAACTGCTATTCTGTTAATCAATCAATTTTTCCATTGTGATTTTCTTAAAACTCTTCTCTTATCCTGTTCACTGTTTATTGACTACTGTAGGCTTTGGATGCTCTGCTATCAGCTTTAGACTGCAGGGGTACAAGGGAAGCTCGTCTTTTTGGATCGTTAGATAAGAGGGAAGCATTTCTCTGCCAGGCTATGAATGATTGTACGGCTACTGACTATATCAGCAGGCAAAAAAGTGGGCCATCTGACTTGGATAATAATAGTGGCGGTGGCTCGTCACCTATTTCTGACGTAGATAATATTCAAGATTCTGTTGACTCCATGAAAAGACATTCATCTGCATCCTGTGCTGTGGCTGTTGAACTCGGAAAGAGCAGGAAAGAAAAGAAGCAGAAGTGGGATCGACTGCAAGCATTTGATAAATGGGTTTGGAATGATTTCTATTCTGATCTAAGTGCTGTTAAAAGAAGTAAACGGTCTTACATGGAATCATTAGCTCGGTGTGAGCAGTGCCATGATTTATACTGGAGAGATGAGAAACATTGCCGAATATGTCATACCACTTTCGAATTAGATTTTGATCTTGAGGAAAAATATGCAATTCACACAGCAACATGTAGGGTAACCGAAGATAGCTGTGATTTTCCCAAGTATAAGGTTCTACCTTCACAGTTGCAAGCCCTTAAAGCAGCAACTCATGCAATTGAGGTAACACCTTATTAAATAATAAATCTACATGTCATATTATGTTTGTGCCTTTCCAAAGAAAAATACATCCGTGAATTTGTCCCGTTTGTGAATGCTTATTCTAGTTTAAATCTTTTAGGCGTGCATGCCCAAGGTTGCTTTATCAGATGCTTGGTCGAGATCGGCTCACAAGCTTTGGGTTAAGCGGCTTAAACGCACATCATCCTTGCCAGAGTTTCTGCAGGTTTTTTTTTTTTTGCTTTCAAATTATACTTTTGTTAAATTATCATGAATTTGTTTAGACTATAGTTAAGAGTATGGTTTCCAAACAGCTTTATTTATTTATTTATTTATTGGTGGCGGGATTTAAAACAGGTTCTTGCTGATTTTGTTGGGGCAATAAATGAAGAGTGGCTGTATGAATGTGCTTCAGCTTTAGGTACAAGTACTGCTCTAGACGAGGTCATTGTATACTTTCAGACTATGCCACAGACTACCTCTGCTGTTGCACTTTGGATGGTTAAGTTGGATGCCCTCATTGCTTCTCAGTTAGAGAAGGTTCAATCCGAACAAGTAGCACAAATAGCAGAAAAGAGACCTCAGCCGAAAAGTATGTCCTCTCTGCACTGTAGTTTGTTTTTTAATTATCTCCTCCCTAGTGTTTGTAGGTTTGTAAATGTAAAAGTTGTTAGTATCACATTGTCTCTGAATTTTCATAATATGCTACTTTTATCATGGCTTTTATATATTGACCATTCGTTTTCTCATCATGTACTGTGAGACCACCCTTTGCAGGGTAGAAGTTGAATTAGTGAGGTATTGTAGCTGGTAAAAGAAACTTTTATTATAATGAGAAATAAAATAATTAGAGATATCTGTTTAAATTCCATTACATATACAAATTTAACTTGTTTGGCTGCTAAAACAAACTGTGCATACTATATATTTGGGAGAGAACCCCTCATAGGACAGTCCACTTAAGAAGGGTTGAGGAAGCTGTTGTTGTGGTGCCATGAATACAAAAATGCAGGAATATTAAACTTCACCAATAAGAGTGTTCTCTCTTTGATTAATCACACTTTTTAGCCTACTACATCCCTTTTCCTTTACTACCATCTCCTTCTTTCAGGCACTGGACCTGATATTATTGTCAGGAATACCAATGATCCTAGTAGCCCAGTCTATTTATTCTGGACAGCTAGGTCTTACCTTGCCCTTATCATAGTCGACAATTAAACAAGTTGTCATGGTTGGTATAGGAGTGAGGAATTTGGTCCAGAGTGCTTGAAGGTTTGGTGATCATGATTTATGACTAACCTGTTTTTATAATATTAACCAATAACCAAAATCATCTTGGTGATCGGTCATGTGTGTGTGTGTGTGTGTGTATAATTTCATATTGCTTATTGTTATAATTTAAAAATTAACATAAAAAGAATTAGCTAGGACATAACATCATTCCACAAAGAAAAAATTTGTCAGAAGCACATTTCTAGATCGAGGAATCAAAGTTTGTTGAACCTGTGCCCCTATATTTGATTTACGTCTGTACTTTTCAGTGCGCCTTTTCATAGTTTAACATTTGTCCGGTTGATGTTTCACAGGATTTATGTTGAAAAATACTGACACATGAAATCTTTTCTTTATTATTATTTTTCCTTCAGGAAGGCGTATCTGCACAATGTAGTTAACAAGTTCATTGCTGTATCCGGCACACTTGAGACTCCAACTGGAGAGTCGGTTTGGTTTCAGCAGATCCATAGATTGCTCGTCAAGGCATTAAAAATATTGAAGCAAGCATTGGTTCCTATAATATAACAGGAACATTTTTTGGCAGTAGCAATGAGAGGTCACAGCCTTAGTGGCCTTCTGATGTGGATTTACTCCTCAAAATGAGCAGATATACTGGAACTGCTAGGATTCTGCTGATTCTGATTGCTTAATGTATGAGGCAGTCAAGCTGCTCTAAGGATGCAGGCAGTCGATCAAGCTAACTGACACCACTAAGATGCCGACTATATTCTCAGAAGTTATAGATTCCATGTAACACTGTTATACAAGCCTTTTACAGTGCAAACACCATTGTTGTTAATAATCACTACTTGTATCTGGATCTTATACTCGTAAAGGTTTGGCCAGAATCACTTCATTATCCTTCTGAATTTGCTGCCGTCGGGAATCCTTTGGCTGGCGAGTTTCTTTTTTTTTTTAATAAAATTTATTTTTTGACCTTGTCATGTAATTTTGAATAGAGACTTGTATTGAGTTTTGAATGTAAATTTTATGAGCGGACGTCTCTGTGTACAATATTTCCTGTTCTTTTTGCTCTCTTTTCTATTAGGAGGGAATCATGTTATGCTATTCAGGGGAATACGTGCTTCCTTCCGTGAACCCTTTTGTGCGGTTGGCTTCTGTTTATTTCAAGTTGTGCCGATGATTTCTTTACAAATGATCGATCACCGTTGAGACATACAGTGTTCTTGAGCTTCACATTGCCTTCCATCCTTATACATCGACTATTGAACTTCACCTGGGTTTTCGCCGTGCATGGATCTCTCTCTCTCTCTCTGCGCAAGCGCACGCTTATTGTACTTTGGACTTTGGGGCATTATGAGCAGGGAAATTTGGGAACATTTCGTATCGCTAGGTGTTTTGTTTCGGTCAAGAGTAGGTGGTCAGAGTGACTTATAATAAGATACTTTTCTGGCTAATAGACCACCGTGACATATTTCACAAATGAACAAATTTTCAAAACCGACCGATTTTATTTTATTTTTCAAAATCGACCGTTTTTTTTTATTTATCAAAATCGACCCGGTTTTGTGATTAGCAGGTTAATCACTATCCTAAATAGTCGGGGTTACCAACCCCGACTATTTAGGAGGGTGTTAAACCCTAATTAAATGGTGATTAACAGGTTAATCACTATCCTAAATAGTCGGGGTTGCCAACCCGATTATTTAGGATAGTGATTAGCCTTCTAATCACAAAACCGGGTCGATTTTAATAAATAAATAAAAAGTCGATTTTGAAAAAAAAAATCAGCCGGTTTTGAAAAATTGTTCTTCACAAATAGCTTATTTCGGCTTATGAGCAAAACTACCGGAGTTGATCAAGTAAAAAGAGCAATATACTCCTCATCATTTTAAAATTTTCAAACCTAATTTATCTCTCTCCGATCTTGTTAAAGTATATTTTGGTCATTTGAAAACAGTGATAACTTAATGAGGTACTCATCTGTTGAGGGCGCTCTACAATTGAAAATGATTATATAGAACCCCGCTAAATTTATCAAACGGCCCATTCTTCAACTTTCTACCCCCTACATAAAATTTCCGATTTCACCATAATTTTACTCAAAATTCCCCGGAATCTTTTAAACTTTCTACCCCCCTCCAAAGAATTTCCGATTTCACCAAAATTTTACTCAAAAATCCCTACTAGTACTCATCACTCTCTACAAAAATCTCGTGAAATTCCTCAAGGAGTTGAAATTTCTTTCGCAAAGCGAAGTCAATCCAGCCTCCTTCGATCGAACCCACTCCCTTAATAGTAACCCGCGAAGTCTCCATCTTCAAAATCCCTCCCTGGCGCGGTCAAGCATTGCGTTTGTGGGGTTAGGGTTTGGGGATTGAGGAATGAGGCGCGTTTGATTTCGGATTGATGATATCCATCCCCCCGCCCTGAATCGTCGGCTGCTTTAAGGTATACAATACGGTTTGGTATTTTGATTGAGAAATTTTGGATTTTGATGCAAGCTGCTGTTTGTTTGGTTATGGATTTTATTTTAATTTGTTGTTGTTGTTGTTTAAAAAAAAGAGTCAAATTTCGAGTGCAAAGATTTTAATGGGGCCTCATTGTAGTCTATATGTCATTCATGACCATGGTCATTTAAAACAGTAACCCCTTGGATAGTAGATATATAGATTAATGAGAGGTAAAATGAAAGAATGCTAATATTTGCGTTTTAAGTAGCCGCATTCACCTCCAAAGCATAATACTAGACAGAATCCATCCGAGAGAAATCTAATAGGAGCTTTCCACAAGCATAATACTAGACATACTCCAAAATAAAATGACATGACTATAGTATGGGAGGATATTAATTTTTGATGGCCTTGTATTCGAAGGCAATACTAGATATAGGGGCATCTGATACAGGGGTTGGTATTTTATCGGAGGTTTACTATTGAACTGCCTTAGGAAGAATTTGTGCCAAGCTTCCTGACATACATTCAGATTCAATAACTGTCTCATTGCTTCTGCAAGTTGCATGTAGATTGCCTAAGGGATTAGGCTGTAATAGTTTATCAAAATGTGGATGGTAACATACACATAATTAAGCATTTAGTTTTCTTATTTATGCGCCCGCAATAAGTAGAGTTATTTTTTAATGGGTGGTGATTGTACTGTGCATAACCATGTACTTCTTTTGGTAATGCTATTTAGTCATAAAACTCATATAACAACTATATGTAAGTACTGATCACTTCATAAAATTTTTAATTTGTGACTGCCAATAGATCTCAGCTGGGCAACCTAAGATATTTTATTTCCATATCATAAGCATGTATTTTCATGCATTCCATGCGTAAGTTATTATACTATAGAAGCAGCATTTGTATGCGTCTCCTATTTATTTGGTAAATTGCTCTTAAAGCATATAGAGAAAGAACTCTAGGTCTTTCAAATAACATAAACAGAGAGCGGGCTTCTCACTTGGTAGTTGTCTGAGACCCACATTAGTTGCCCTTCTAAGTGTTGAAAACGCTTCACGGAGTCCTTTATGCTGAATTTAACAGTATAAGTTTTCTTCTCATTTACCTCTACAAATTGAAGCTTACTTGGAGATGCACTTATATTCAATCCCTTGGGTTCATCAATCTTTACTGCATATACAGAGTTTGCTTCACCTACATTCGTCACCATCCTTGTAATTGTAGTGCCCTCAGAGGCCGATGAGTTTACCTTAACGGAGATAGAAGGGTAGTTCAGATGTTCTGCTTTGATTTCATCTACTGAAGAGCAGTTAACCATCTGGTGAACGATCGAGGTATCATTATAGTTATTGTACAAGCTACAGAGGTATCTGGCATAGTCGTTTGGCTCAATATCATAGATTAGTCCTGGATCATTGGCTGCTTGTGGATTTACGTGTCCAGACCCTATTGCAAATAGGTCTGCAGGGCCTAAATCTGGTTGTGCTTCGTCTGCTATAGGATTCCCATCACGATCTCTTATGTAAGCGGTTGTCATAATTGCTGATTTAATTGCTGCAGGGGACCAATCAGGGTGACTGGCTTTAATCAGTGCTGCCACCCCGGCAAGGTGGGGTGTGGCTA